TGCAAGAACGGCTTCAACGGCCCGACGTGCGGCGGCAAGCTCGACATTTGCGCGGGCGTCACGTGCTCGGGCGGCGGCTACACGAGCGGCGCGTCCGGCAAAGCTTGCACGTGCTTTTGTCCCAAGTGCCCTGCTGGCACAACCTGCACGGCATGTGGGGGCGCCGACGGCCGCGATTGCTCGACGTGCCCGGCGTCCACCCGGCTCAACGCGAGCAGCACGCTCCACCTCGCTGGTCTCGTCGCGGCCCTCGCCGCTTGTTTTACTTTGCTCCTGTAAGAGCCCGTGCTTGTGGCGGCCGCTTGCCGAGCGCGCCACGTAAGCTGTTTTAGATTTAACGTCAACCATGGGATTGCCATGTCTCGGAAAGCTTTGCACACAGCCGCCGCCACCATTTGGCCGAGCGACGTTATCAGCGATCACGCGGATGCACGCTTGAGAATCGGCCGCCTCCCTGTCCAAGGTCGAGAGGACGCACGATGTGAGAGTGAAGCGAGGTCAAGGCCGAAGTGAGCACCCATCGTCCACTTGGGTCGGTTGGGTACCGGTACATGAGGGTTCTGCGTGGAAAGCTGGTGCTGCGCAGGTCGCTGCGCTTGAAATTTTCACACCGTGTCGCTGGCGCCAGCGCCTTTCCTCCTCGACGGCCAAGATCCACGATCGTCGAACGGTCGATGGCCGACGCCGCGCCGACGCTTGGGCGCTGCGACAACGAGCCTCGCAGCGGAGCTCATCCAAGCGCCGTCCGAACTGGCCCTTCGGCGTCAAATTTTCTGGCGACTGCTGCGTGCGATCATCGGTCTCGCCGGCGGGATCTGGGTATACTTTAATCAAGTTTAAGAAAGGCCATGTCGCGTCGCTGGACCCTAGGCAACGCGCACCATGGTCGACGACGAGCGCATTTGCCGCAATGACGTGCTGCGATAATGCACTAGTAATGGTGCTGGAATCTCCGACAACAAGCCAGAAACCTGGAGAAGGATGTCCTGCAGAAGCTGGTCGCATTGATGGACGGCGACGATTACTCACTCGCCGAATTGGGGCCACCGACAGAGTTCGATTTGCCCACCACCTCCTCTGATGCAGCTCCTCCACGCCCTCTGCCTGCTTGGCGTAGCCATGGCCGCGCGCGTGGCGCCGCCCGTGCGCGACAAGAGCGTCGGTATCTGCAACACGGATGCCGAGTGCGCCAAGTACCCTGGCACTGTGTGTATCCTCATCAACTCGGGCGACTTCACGCAGGGCAAGTGCACGCCCAACTATGGCACACGACCGGTCTGCCGCGGCGGCCAAGCCGGTCTCTGCCCGCAGTACCAGACGACGACGGTCGGCTACATCAACGCGCAGTGCGTACTCGTCGATAAGTCTATGGCGCCGGTGACGGACACAGACGCCGTGACGCCGTCGACGGCCAAACCGACAGCAGCACCCGCCAAGCCGACGGCAGCGCCTTTGCGCTTCCTCCTTGTGAACACGACGGCGGCGCCGGTGGCTGGCGAAGACGCGGCGGGCAACGACACGGCCTTGTCGCCATTGACGCCCGTCAAGCCTCAGGCGTGCCCGACGAACGAGGGCCTCTCGCTCTCGGATCCCGCGTGCTGGTTCAACACGGCGCACAAGGGCAGCACCATCAGCGTGCAGTATCAGTGCATCTCGTACGACATGTGCTTGCAGCAGTCGGCGTGGGCCAAAGACGATCCCGCAGAGAAGGACGCGTACTGCCACCCCAAGGGCTGCGTCACGGGCGACCGCGAGCTCTGCAACAACCATGGCACGTGCCAAGGCAACGATGCGTACGCGCCCATGGAGCCCAAGGGCTACTCGTGCCGGTGCTACGCAGGGTACTCTGGCAAGATGTGCGAAACGCCGCTCAAGACCAAGGAGTGCGACGTCGACTGCGGTCTCGGCGGCGCCTGCATCAAGCGCCAGTGCGTCTGTTTCGAAGGCTTCCTCGGCCTCGATCCGCGATGCGGGTCGTGCACGTCGAACGCGGCCTGTGAGAACGGCAACGAGTGCGACGTCGACTCGGGCGTCTGCAAGTGCAAGGAGGGCTTCAACGGCCCGACGTGCGGTGGCAAGCTCACGCCCTGCGCTGGTGTCAAATGCAAGAACGGCGGCTTCCTCAACGTCGTCGGCACCAAGTGTGGCTGCCTCTGCCCCAAGTGCCCCGCCGGTATGCCATGCCAGACGTGCGGTGGCGCCGACAACACCGACTGCTCGACATGCTCGGGCGCGACCACCGAGTCGGCAACGTCGGGCAGTGGCAGCAAGGCCAAGGCCGGCGGTCGCGGCACCTCGAGCGACGCTTCGACGAGCGCCCTCTCGCTCCTTGCGCTCGCTACTCTTATGGTCCTCGCCATGTAAGTATCAAGTTGATATCGAGTGCTCTCGACATAAATTTGCCACAACAATTTGCATGTGCGAAGCGAGTGTTAGTTAGTAGTATGGAGCGTCAGCTGGATCGCGTGCTCGAGGTTCAGGAACGCCTCCTTCTGGTGCTCCTGCGTGTCCCGGAGCTTCTCGATGAGCCGCGCCTCTTCGCTCTCCATCTCGCGCAGGATGTTTTCGGCCACACTCTAGTTTCAAGTTGGTATCAAGTGGGTACATCTAGGCACCTTTTTCGTATACTCGTCCGCGAGCTTGTCCCGCGCGTTGCGCACGAGTTGCTGCTCGTGCTTCTTGCGCGCGAGCTCTCGCTTGCGCGCGGCCTCGAGCTCGCTGCGCTTGATGGCCTCGGACTGCTGCAACAGCCGGTGGCGCTCGGCCTCCTTCTCTTTGGCCAGCTGCATGCTCAGCTGCTGCTGGCGCGCCTTCTTGTCCTGCGCTTGCTTGGCGCGCTGCTCGGTGAGCGTGAGGATCGCCGTCTCCTTGCGCTTCTGCGAGAGCACCGCCGTCTTGGCTAATGGACTTGAAATGAGCACTCGAACGCAAATACTAGATGGCGTTGTACAGTGTTCGACAAGCGCGCTGCGCACGTTGGACTGCTGCCGCTCCATGTGCTCGCGCTTCATGCGCAGGTGGTCGGCGTTGCGCTTCTTGACGAGCTCGATCTCGCGCGCGCGCTTGTTGGCCTCGTCAATCTTCTTTTGCGCCTTCTTCTCCTCCATCCTGCACGCGATTTGATCAGACGAGCCGATGCCAAAGAGAGGAACCGGAGGTGCGCGAGGCGGTTCGCGAGCAGCTGGACGTCGTCCTCGGTGCGCTTGCGCTGCATCTTGGCGTCGAGCATCTCGCTATGGATCGCCGAGAGCGGCTCGGGCTCGTCGTCCCGCGTCGTTGGCTCGTCGTCGTCTTCGCCGAGCCGGTCCGCGTGCAGTGCAAACCACTGAAGAAAGACCGACTAGCGCCACGTGTACGTTCACGCAAAGCGACATTAACGCTACTGAGATTGCACCTTGGTGATGTCGCCGGTCGCGTCCGGGTCGAGCTCGTCGAGGTACCGCTCGAGGTCACGTCGCGCGACGCTGTAGCCCATCTTGGCCAGCACGGTCGAGAGGTGCTCGGTCGCGATCGCCCTGCGCATAGGCTATGAGATGCTCACTCGGCCATCGCAAGTCGTACTCGCGCCCGGCGCTGTAGACGGCAAAGATCGTCTCAAAGCCGATCTCGTCCAGCGCATCGCGAAGAAGGTTGTCGTCGGCCATCCCGCGAGCCTAAATATACTGCGCCAACTACAGCCCCGTGTTGCTCTATTTATACAGCGAGATGTCGCTTCCGTACGCAAGGGTCCATGAGCCCACTTTGCAACACTCGCGCGCTAGTAGCTGCGAGCGACTTGTCCCGGGCTGCCAAAGGCTGCAGGGTGCTCTTGCACGAACAGTCCGCCGTTCTCCAGCCGTTCTCGAGCCTGTCTCCTTCGACCGCAGCAACGGGTGTCGATACGAAGATTGGCGGTGGATGATTCCATGCGATGCGACAAGCTCGTGATGAGCGCAACCGGCAGCGTCCGCAAACATCCACCATTGTGGTGTGGACCATCAAGACATGAAGGCGAAATGATGCTTTTGATCGAGCAACGAACGGCTACGCTTGTCGCATCAGCGCCAGATTGCGTCCGAGACGCGGACGACGTCGATGAGGCCCGCGACGTCGTGCACACGCACGATGGCCGCGCCGCCCGCAATTGCCGCGCTGCACGTGGCGGCGGTCGCCCAGTCGCGGTCGCTGGCCTCGGGCTTGTTGCAGATCGTGCCGAGAAACTTCTTGCGTGATGCGCCAATCTAACAAGCACGCTACGAACGGAAGGATGATGCGTCATCAACGTACCAAGACGGGGCACGGTGCGCAGCGAGCGGTGAGCGTCGCCACGTGTCGGAGGAGCTGCAGGTTCAAGTCCTTGTCCTTGGCAAAGCCGATGCCCGGGTCCACGACGAGGTTCCACGTTGGAATTCCCGCCGCGACGGCCGCCACCACGAGCGCCCGCAAGTCGGACGCGACGTCGTCCACGACGTTGGCATACTCCTATGGCTCGGTGAGTCTGGCACCGAGTCGCAAGAATGGTTACCTTGAGCGTCGTCATCGTGGCCGGAGTCCCGCGCATGTGCATGACAATGTACTAGGCGCATAGTACACTAATAAGGAAATGGTGGTCGAGCTACGCGGATACCGGCACTTTCAACGCAGCGACGGTCGAGAGCATGGCCACGTCGGCCTGGCCCGCGGAAATGTCGTTGACGAGCGTGGCCCCAGCCTGCGTCGCATGAGAGCTTCGCACGGACGTAGTCGCAAGTACCTCGATCGCCGCTTTGGCGACATCTGCCTTGGTCGTATCGATGGAAATCGGGATCGACGAGGCGGCGCGGATGCCACGAATGACCGGGAGGACCTACGTCTTGTATCAACCACATGCACGCTGTAGAATGGTGTACCCGAGCGAGTTCCTCGTCCAGCGAGACGGGCGACGCGCCGGGGCGACTCGACTCGCCGCCGACGTCGATGATGTCGACGCCGGACGCAACCATGGCGAGCGCCTTCTCCACGGCAACTTGCGAGTTACCGATGCCGTCGGCGCTGAAGCTGTCGGGCGTCGCGTTAACAATGCCCATGACGTACGTCTAGCACTCCATTTTGCACTTTGCGCGTTGGGCTATCCATACCTTTTGGTGCAGGACCCAGTGCTGACTGGGGCCGAGGCAGAGCACGGGCACGGGCGGCGTCTCAATGTGGGTCGTGGCTTGCAGTGCGTGGTAGAGTTCTCGGATCGTCTTGTGCAGTTGCGGGTGCTCAAAGTCTGCACACTCCAATGAGTCGACGCAACATAATGTCAGCGACGTCGTACCGGCGGCGATGTCGAGCAGCGGGCGTAGGACAAAGTCGCGCTCCTGGATGAGCAGGTGCGGAACGTGCAAAGGTCCAACGGCCGTTGTCGTCTCAATGACGTCGGCGCCGTAAAAGAGAATGTCCACGTCGAGCACGCGCGGGCCGTAGCGCAGACCCGACGGCGTGCGCCCGACCAGCACCTCGATCTCCTTGAAGCACTAGACAGAGACAGCGATAGCGCCAACGCCCGTCACTCAGCAAAGCCAAGCGACGTACGAGAAGAAGATCCACGGCAGACAAGGCCGTCTCGAGCTCGAGGATGGCGTTGAGGAACTGCGGCTGGTCCGTGACGTACTGCGGCACAGTCGTGTACAGCGCTGACGTCTGCAGCACCGCGCCCGCGAGCTGGTTGAGCGCGTCCACGGCGCGGTGCAGATGACCAGCGCGGTCGCCTACGTAGCCGTCAGCGCTGGTCGTCGTCACCGCCATGCGTACCCAAGTTGGAGCCGATCGCCACCAAGACCCGCATCGTCCGACTTTGCAAGCTGGCGGCCAATAGCTTGGTGTCCACCAGACCATCTGGCCGTCATAGAGCTAAAAACACGCAATACAGGGTGGCATTCGCGCCGTCAACCGCAGCCGCGCCGTCGTTGGCCGCGACGCGGCTTCTTCCATGTGGCCACCAAGATTCGCGTGCATCCTGCGCGCATCGCGTCGTTGCGGCGCGCGGCAGAGAGTCTGAGAACGCCGCCGACGTAGTCCAGGACAAGTTGGGTGGGTCTAGCCTTGCACATGCGGCAATTTGGCTCACGCACGTGCTTGGGGCTCCTGTGATTTGACCAGCGCCGAAGGCGTGGCGATCGCACATTGGCAGCAGCCCATACATCATGCCCATACATCACCCTTGAACACTGCAGCAAGCCTGCCAATGGTCCCTTGACGCACCACCAACGACAACGGTACACGGAGAGCAAAGCATCTCGACGAAAAAGCTGAGTCGTTTTCACCGAGTACCGGTGCAGATCGTCGAAAGGCGACCATTTTGACGCGGGGTGTGGATACATGGCATGGAATAAGATTCAAATTTGAGATTCACGAGCCTGTTTTTGTCTGTGTTGTGTGTTGTTGTGGTATCGTGGGTGCTGCCACTCGCAGTTCCGAGGGTCTACTACGTCCAATGCAAGCTCCACTGCTGAGTCGAGCAAGTCGAACCGCAACGCATGCAGCAATCTCGATTTGAAGTAATGCGCGCGAAAACATTCCGAGTCTGTTACTGCGCCGGTAATCGTCTTTGGTCCGTCAGCTCCTCCTCGCGCCGCGATGATCGGCGACCTGCAGTTACTCGCGTCCTTTCCCCGAGGCCGGCTCCTTTCGGCTTCCGTTCTCGTATATTACTGCACGCGCTGGGCACCTTGCAGGCGGTTGAAGTCGCAGGCGGCGTCTGACCACACGTGCGTCGACCTACACCACGCGGTTGAAGTCAATATCATCTCGCAGCCAAGACGAAGCGCAGTAATTGCTTGCCGAGTTTGGTTCGTAAGAAGCTTGTGCTTGTGCAGCGAGTATCTTGTCTAATATAACTGCGATCGTTCGCAATACGCCAAGGTTCGTCCTGCATGGATCCCTCTGGACCGATTTGGCTCGAAGTGGTCGAACGAACAGATAGCGTCGCAGGCGAGATCGAGGCTGACAATGGTTTGCGTCGAGGAATCAATGGCTGCATCGAGTAGATACCTGGCGCGTCGACGGCCTTTCCTCAGACTCTCTCCGCATCATTCGTCGTTGCGCTCGGCTTGGCGTCTATACAGCGCCTAGACACGCATCAAGGAGGAGTGTCGAGACTGCTTCGTCCTCCCAGGATGATCCGCCGCCATCTGCATCTTTGCTTCAGCGCCACGTTTGCATTACTACAACCACCCGTGACGCTTGGATGGAACGCTTCTTCAAGATCCCATATCGCGACAGTGGGCTCATGCCATCTGTGTGGACAGCAGGCGTGCGCCCCTTGAAACCCACACACCGGAACGTATGGCTGCTCATTCATTGAATGCGCACCCAGCGTCGTGCAGCACCTGGCGTCGTGATGATACCGGACCCTATATCGAGAAGGCTATCGAGAAGCCCCTCCCAGGACCTTGCTCGACGGCTCTCGGAAGCTCTTTCGATCTGCGACCGCGTTCAAGAGTAAACGCATACAACCAAGACAGGCTTTCCGAAACCTGCGACCGCTTCGTATCCTCCGTTCGCCATGCGGTGTGTCACGCAGAGACACATGGAATCAGAAGATTCGCGCCAACTCTTTTGGGCCGCGCATCATCAGTGGAGCGACCCGCTTGGTTTACCCAACATTGCGAGCGTCGAGATTGGTCGACAACGCACCATGTACACTACGGGTAGTACCAGTGAGGCTCACCGCCGGAGAAGACTTCTGGATAGCAGTCTTGCTCCGACGGCTGGCGATATGTAGGAGCGGCCTGTCGGTGACCTGTGTGACCGCGTGCGTGGCTATGGAGATAATCCCAGGCGCAAAGAACGCGGGATCGCGTCCGTCGTTGCTTGATGTGCATCAACCCAGGTGCAGTGCGGCTTCCTCCCGTTGCGAGCGCCGACACGTGTCGACCTTGTACACATCAACGATGGCCGCCACGTGGAGAAGCAGCCCACTGGTCTAGAGGGAGTAAACGACGATGCCAGTCGAGACACGGCGAGGTCGTCTGGTCCTGATGGACATGACAGTGTAGCACATCGATATATATCAACGCGACTTCAACTGCCAAGGTGGTTTGCAGCGCGCGCTGGCCTCAGTGCGACGTCGTGGACCTGTGCGTATGTGGCCGACCCGATTGTTCCAATGCTTCAAGGACAGGGGGTCGCGACTCACGCAAGTGCATATGCGAATCTTTCTCGACGCTGTGAGTAGCAGCCCATCCCCGCCTTGGCGCCGCACCGGTACCTACCAAAGGGAGCGGCAAAGGGACAACGACGGTTGCTAGGAGGCTGGGAGCTGCCGCGTTCTCAGCTCTCCCTGGACCTACAGTACCGGTGCTGATATCGCTGGCGGCTTGGACACGGCGCACCCATCGCCGAGCACTGGCCTCATCTGAAAAGTATCTTCTGCTGGCAACTGCATCTGTTTTCTTTACATCGGGCGAAGCGACATGTTGCGAGAGTGGCCTGCCGCGACGCCACCACGTGTGCAGCTCATTTTCCATTTCACTCGGCGCCGAGTACAGCAGCTGCAGCATGATGACGCCCTTCCAAAGTGCCAGCCTCGAGCCGATCCCGTTTGCGCACGGCATCACCACACATTTCCTCGACGACCCGGAGCTCGTGTGCTTTCTAGACCGCGAGTTCAACGAGCACAAGCCGCCGGCCATCAAGGTCGAGCCGCTCTACGCCTTTCCGCTCGCGATGCAGCGCTCGACGAGCAACAGCAGCTCGAGTTCGACGAGCACGGTCGACACGGACGACGACCTCGCCGCGCCGTCGCACTCGCGCCGCAAGATCTGCGCCATGGACGGCTGCCTCCGCAACGTCCGCTCCAAGGGCTACTGCAAGTCCCACGGCGGTGGCAAGCAGTGCAGCATGGACGGCTGCGCCAAGGAAGCGCAAAACGGACAGTTCTGCATCGGCCACGGCGGTGGCAAGTGCTGCAAGGTGCCCAACTGCTCCAACGCCGCGCAGTCCCAGGGCCTCTGCAAGGCGCACGGCGGCGGCGCGCGCTGCAAGTTCAACGGCTGCGAAAAGAGCTCGCAGGGCGGCGGTTTCTGCCGCACCCACGGTGGTGGCAAGCGCTGCGTCGAGCCTGGCTGCACGAAGGGCGCCCAGCGTGGCAACAAGTGCGCCAAGCACGGCGGCTGCCGAACGTGCACGGTCGGCGACTGCGTCCGCACCGACCGCGGCGGTGGCTTCTGCGAGCTTCACCGCAAGGACAAGCTCTGCATCGCGCCGGGCTGCAAGCGGCTGCGAAAGAGCATGGGTATGTGCACACCGCACGTGCGCGAATGGCGCGCGGTCCGCGGCTGCGGCGACGTCATGCTCGGGCTCAAGACCGAAGCGCTGAGCCTCTCGATCCACTAAGCCCACGCCACCGCCTTTTTATCTACCACCAACTATTAGACGACTATTATTTTACAACTATAAACCTAAATCGAGTTAGATGCTACGTACTATTGGTATTGTCTGTAGTACAGTTTAGTGTATATATACTATACTTGCGTGCAGAGGTGCTTCCTCTCTTGCGAGTCGTAATAGCAGGCGAATCGATCCAGACTGCCACACGATCTTGTGTTTGGTAGCATGCGTGGATACACATTGCACAAGCACATGTACCGTAACTAACAACACACTTTAAATTCAGTCGCGCGAAATAGTGTACATCGAGCAGCTGCACCAGCGACGCGAGCGGTCGAGTTCTTTTTGTGTACACCGGTCGCCGTGACGCCCGTAGTGCAATCTGAAGCCGAAGGACCGTCTCGATGACGAGCCGCCGACACGGAATGCCGAGATCCAGGAGGTGACCGGTGCAGTCAGGTCTCGTCTACGAAGCAGCAGCTGTCGTGACGGCTCTACTCAACGCGAGCAACCCAAGAAGACAGCAGTTGAAGGTCGTGTTGGCGAGTACTGTGTGTGCATGTAGCAGACAGTAGTGAGTAGACAAGAGTCGGATTGCTCTCGAGGAGCGACAGAAGGAGCGACCGCAAGCAGCGTCGTATCGCAGATCAGGCTTTCGGCAATGCTCGTGCGAACGCAACGTCGAAGCGCGTGGAACAACCGTCTCCAGCTGCGCAACACATTGCACCTCGTGATTTCCAGTGTATGTAGAGACAGAGTGTACCATTGTACAATTTGTCTTTGCCAAACTACTGGTGCACGACGAGCTAACTCGAAGCTGGTACGATACGATCGAGTTGCCAGAAACCTCGTCCTATGAGCCGAGAGCCGCCAGACTCAAGTTGAAGTGGACCCTCGTCTCGGATTGGCCAAACAACGCGCCGTCGGGCCAATCAAAAGCGCTCCATGGGCGGGTTTGATTCAAGTGGCGGGCGATTGGCCGCCGCCGAAGATCGCAAGGCAACCAAATTCACTTCGGCCACCTCGAAGACCGATGAGCTGCTTGGTTGTGCTCTCGAATGCCGACCTCGTCGAGCGCGTCCTCGCGTACCAGCCCGGCGTTCCGCTCGCCGCACTCACCTTTATCGCTGCGTGGAAGCAACTCGGCTTGCCGCACACCGTGGCCGACTACGCCAGCAAGGTCGGCGACGTGGCGATGCTGCGGCGCCTTGCGTCGTGCGGCCACGGAGCGCTGACACCCAAGGCCCTGGACTGGGCTGCGATGCACGGGCACCTTGATGTCGTTCGCTACCTCCACGAGACCCGCCACGCAGCGTGCACGGTCGATGCACTCGACCAAGCGGCCAAGAACGGCCACGTCGCCGTCGTCACCTACCTCTGTAAAGAGCGCCGCGAAGGCTGCACCTCGAACGGGTACCTCTGGGCCGCATCGCACGGTCATGTCGACATCATCGTCGTTCTCAGTGCGCACCATCCGCAGCAGCAATGGAACGGCGCACTGGCGATCGAGCGGGCGACCGCGGCGGGCCACGTCGCCATGGTGCAGTGGCTCTTGCCCCGGCAGTCGCCGCTCACGCTCCAGTCGGTCCTCAAGATTGCCGTGTACCACGGGCACGTGGCCATTCTGCAGCTGCTTTTGCGCACCAAGACCCTGCGGTTCGACGAGAGCACGATGACGACGATGGCGCTGCACCGAGGCCACGACAACGTCGTGTCGTTTCTCCAGAGCTGTCGAACAACGCTCTGCGTTCTCTAGCGTTGTTATATATTTATAAGCCGTTGAGCGCCCACTGCTCGATGAGCGTCGTGCACGCAATTCGCTTGTGTTTGATCGCGTCCAGAATCACCGACGCGCGCAGCGTGAGCTGGAGGAGGCGGAACTCGGGCTGCACCTGCTGCGCGGCCGTCGTCGAGCCCGACATGTGGTGAATGAGCTGGAGCGAGTGGAGGTTGTCGAGCGCTTTGAGCGCGTCGAGGCGCCCCGGCGACTTGAGCGAGTGCTTGCGGTAAAAGAGGTTGCACTCTTGAAACACCATTTCAAACGAGTACGAGCTGCGCCCGACGCGCTCCAACGCGATCATGGCCAGCAACAGCGTCAGCTCCCGCGTCGTAATGCCTACGCTCCATGTCGGTCGCGAGCGATACATTGAAAGTACCTTGGAGCGTCTGGAGCTGGTGGGGCGGCGCGAGTTGCGCCATCGCCGTCTCAAAATGGCTCTGTCCCAAGAGCGGCGACGTCGGCGTGAGCGTGTTCACGGCCACGTGGGCGACGCGCAGAAACACGTGCGTCGGTTTGCCGAGGTCGTACCAGTACTGCAGCTCTGGCAAGAGCGACGACGCCGCGTCAAAGAGCGCAAAGTGCAGTGCTTCTTCGTAGGCGGTAAAGTACGCGGCGGGCGGCGGGTTCGTGAGCGGCCACTCGTGTGCGCGCAGCTGCAGCGTCATCCAGAGCAGCTAGCCACGGTTTGCATGCGTCCTACAGCGTGTCTATTACCTGCAAGATGCTCTTCATGGGCTGCCGGAGCACGACGATTTGAAAGTTGGAGAAGCGGGACTTGACGCGCTTCTCGAGCTGCGAGATAATGTTGAAATTGCTCGAGACTCCGAGGAGACCAATGCGCACGTCTTTGGTCTACAGGGAAGGGTACGGTTGTTGGTCTATCGCAACGGGTATCCGCACCTGCATCCAGTCGAGGAGGTTGTACAGGAGCAGCTGCTTGGCTTTGCTTTCGCTCACAAACGCGTCAAAGTCGTCGAGGACAAAGACGACAGCTTCTTTCAATAGCGCCTTCTCGAGCAGCAGCTGCTTCATAAAGTCGTACATGTTGAAGAAGGCGACGCTCTACGCCGTCTATGAGATCTGATAGCGGTCGACGGTCGTACGCGCTGGCCGATCGCGCCGTCCGGCGAGAGCTGCTGCACAATCTCGCGAAAAGCCTCGACCTCGTTGCTGAAGAGACTGCCGCTGAGGTGCACCAGGTGGAACGGGTGCGCTGTTGCATATGCGGTTTGCAGCTGGTGCACAGCTTTCTGGAGGATGCTGCGCTTGCCGTTGCCGACAGACCCGACAAGGAGCGCGGACTGGTTCTCGCCGTGCACGATCGTACGCTCGAGGAGGCTCTCGACCTGCGCCACGTGAGTCTCGAGGCCGATGAGCGACGACCCGCTGCTCGCGTGCTGCTTGGCGATCGAAGTTTTCAGCACGAGCTTGATTTGGTTGACGTCGTCGTCCGAGAGCGTCATCGCCTCAACTTTGTCGGATTGGGCAAACTCGGCTTCGACCTCGGCGGCAATCTCGTCGGCTTCAAATTCGGCCTCAACTTCGGCTGCAATCGCGTCGGCGTCGTCGTCGTCTTCGACCGACGAAGGAGCCTCGACGCTCGCCACGCTTTCGTCCTCTGACACCTTGCGGCTGCTCTCGGTGGATGGCAGAGCGCTGGCAGGCGCTGGCGCTAGGGCGGAAGATACCTCAGCGGCAGGAGCGTCGGCCGTGGTGGCAGCGGCTTCAATCGCAGGTGGCGCTTCGCTCACGACGACAAGAAGAGGCGGCGGCACCACCGACGGCTCTACAACGGGTTTGATGCTCGGCGGTATGGCGAGAATCGGTGGCGGCAGCTCGAACGCGTCCAGGGTCTCATTCGGAGCGGCGTCTTTGCCAGCCACAAGTGCCGGGCTCGCACTCGATAGCGCCGGGCTTGCACCTGTCGGCAGCAAGTCTGCCAACAGATTATTGTCCTATACAGCACGCACACCTCAGCGCTTGACTCTGCGTAAGTGGGTATGTCGGACCAGAGACCCGACGCTGCTAACGGACGTCTCGAGCGACGAGTTGGCAGGGTCTCGGTTTTCTTCCTGCTTGCCCAGGCACAGCGGCGCAGCCTCGTCTGGCATCTGCAAAGCCATGAGTACATGCAAATAGGGCGGATCGACATACAGCCTTGGGCGGTGCCATGGCCGAGCGGTGCACGATGGGCGACAGCAGCGGTGCGGCCGCAAAGGCGAGGTGGAGCCGCGGGTTGGCCTCGCGCGGCGACGTCAGCTTCCGCTTCTTGGAGGCTCCAGGCGGTGGGTGGTCATCGAGATCGACATGCTTCTCTTCCTCGTCATACAGGTTGGCGAGGAAGGACTCGGCGAAATCCATGCCCGAGCGCGTGTTTACCACTGTTACGTTTATCCGGACAAGCCAGAATGTGTGTTGTTCACACTATATCCTGCTTGTGCTTTGGCGCCAAGATGCGAACGCATATTACTGTCATACGAGTATTAGCCACGATTACATGTTGCCTGCCCGGTACTCTTCGAGCTTTTCGATCTTGCCATGCTCGAGGAACTCGTCAATCTTGGACGCGCTCGCCTTGCCAATGCCCTTGAGCTTCATGGCCGCCTTCCCGCTCTCGATCTTGTCCTCGGCATCGCGGATCGCCTTGGCGACCTTGGAGTACGACCCGCCCTTGAACTTCTCACCGCGCTTGAACTCAAAGCCCGCGAGCTCGGCAAACGCCTCGGCCAGCGCCTGGTTCTTCTCGTTCGTGGCCTGCGCAATCTTCTTCTTCTTGGTTGCTGCCTCGCCGCCATCCTCGTCGTCGCCAGCACCCTTGGCCTCGTCGCCGTCTTTGGCCTTCTTAGCCGGCGCCTTTCGCTTCTTGGTTGCCTTCACCTCGGGCGCCTTGGCCCCAAACTTGTCGGTCATCGCCTTCAAGGCCGCGTCGAGGTTGTATGCGCCGTCTTCGCGCGTCGCATTGAGCATCGTGCCAGCCTGAATCATGGCGTTCATCGGGTCTGTGGGCACGAGGACGCCTTCCTTGGCGCAGAGCGCGAGGAGCTCCTTCGCGGCCTGCTTGGCGGCGGCCTTGGCGGTGCTCATTGTGCTGCGGCTGTTGGTTGTGTGGTCTCGAACCTCAAGGTGGCGGATGCCAGGGCGCACTTAGGAGGAGCTCCCTGCGACAACGGATGTATCCGGATAAACCCGCGCGCGCCTGATCGAGGTTCTTTTTTCGTCGTCAAGTGCAAGGGGCGAAGATTTGTGGAACGCCCCGTATCCGGATTGGCAGAGGATTTTGTGTGGAGACATCGCGGGGTCATTTTACGTTTTTTTCGCCAGTCACAGAGCGACCGAAGCACGCGATAGACATGGGCCTGGCACGCGCGACGACGACCACGAACGACAAGAAGGCCAACGGCAAGAAGAAGGCCGCCCCCGCGCCCATCGACTACGCGGCCATCGAGCACCCGTACGTCGTGCTCCTCAACAAGAAGCTGCGCTCGCTCAAGAAGAAGCAGGAGAAGATCAAGTCGCTCGAAGAGTCCATGGTCGGCTCCAACAAGACGCTCAACGAGCAGCAGCTTGAGGTGCTTGCCAACAAGACTCTTGTGGAAAAGATGTACGCCGAGCTTGAAGCGCTCCGCGTGGTCTTTGTCGAGACGACGATCCTGCCCGCGGCTTCCGCCAAGGTCGAGGCTCCTGTCGAGGCGGAGCCCGTTGTTGAAGACGTTGTCGCCGTCGTCGAAAACGTTGTTGAGGACGAAGAAGAGACCGCGCCCGCTCCGACGACGCCGGCGGTCGAAACCCACGATCTCGAAGAGGAGAAGATGGAGTACGTCGGCGAAATCCTCAAGCTACTCCACGCCGTGAGCTTGCACCAGGCTTTGGGCCACGACGTGCCGATTGCGCTCGACTACTTTGTCAAGGTGCTCATGGGCGGCACGCGCCCGCCTGCCGAGGTTGCGTTCAAGGAAAACCTTGCCGAGTCCTTGGTTGAAGCCAAGCGCTACTTGACACAGAGCGAGAAGGTCCTCGCATGCGATATGTCGTACCACGACTTGCGCGAAGCTGTCGACCGTCTCGTGAACCCCGTCCGTGTCGCCGAGGCCGTTGTTGAAGTGCCTCAGATCAACTTTTTTGCCGAGCCGGACGCTGTGGCCGAGGTCCCTGTCGCCGACGAAACCCCGGCTGTCGCGAACGACGTCGCTGCTCCTCAGGACGTTCAGGAGCCCGTGCCCGAAGAGGCTGCGGCACCGACCAAGTCATTTGCGGCCGCTGCTGGTGGCAAGCGCCCCAGCTCTGGCAACCGCCGCAAGAACTCGCCTCGCAACAACGCGCCGGCAACGGTGCCTGCTGCCGACGCCAACGCTGCGGAAAAGCCCAAGCAGTCTCGCCGCCAGTACAAGCCCAAGGCGACGCCAACGGAGGCGTCTGCAGCCTCGGCCGCTGGTGAAGCGCCCAAGGCCCGCCCTCAGCGCAGCGCTACCAAGCCGTCGAGCAGTAGTCCGTCGCCGACAGGTGAGTCGGCCAAGAGCGGAGCGGCCAAGTCGTCGGCGCCCCGGCGTCCGCGCCAGCCGCGTGGCCCCAAGAAGGAGAGCGAAACGCCGTAAAGCGTGCCACGTAATTTTGGAGTCGTAATAATAATATAAAAAAGTAAAATAAAACGTGCATCTCTTGGGCCGTTCGAGAATGATACAATACCAAAAAAAAAACACATACAAACACAAAGTGTATGGTCCATATTTCTATAAATAAAGACGGTCCTGTAAGCGGTTGTATAGCCATTTGAACAATCATATTTTAATTTGCCAGCCGCCCATGACCAAGGTCTTCGTCGGGATCGCGGTCGGCCTCATGGCCCTCAAGGCGCTCGCGATCGCGACGACGCATGGCTTGGCCGCCGGCGACGTCGTCATCGAGGGCGTCCTCGTCTTCCTCATGGTCGTGTCCTACGCTGGCGCCATCTTCGTCTCGCCCTCGCTCTCGGTGGCCGCGCTCCTCTCGCCCGAGGACGGGGACATCGACACCGAAGCCCGCTACTGTGAGAAATGCGACTGCGTCAAGCCCGATAACTTCCACCATTGCTCTGTCTGCATGCGCTGCATCTCGCGCATGGACCACCACTGCCCATGGACGTCCAACTGCGTCGGCGAGCGCACCAAGAAGATCTTTATCCTCTTCCTCTTCTACACGTCGCTCTCGTGCCTTTGGTCGGCGTCGCTTCTCGTGGGCTCGACGGGCCACCGCAGCCTCTTTGTGTCGTTCATTACCGTGCTGAGCTTTGGCGTTGGGTTCCTCCTCGGCGGGTACTGTCTCTTCCATCTCTACCTCCTCTCGCAGGGCAAGACGACGCTGGACTTTATGGCCGGTCGTAGCGGCAACGCGCTGGGTTTTGCCGCGAACCTGCGCGTCTACTTTGGCCACGAGTGGTGGCTCTACTTGGTGCCCATCGTGCCGCCGTCCATTCGCTTCGGTCACCTCCAGTCGCTGCGGTCGGACGACGAGCGCGCCGGGCTGCGTGGCGACGCCGTATGAAGAGATTGATATGCATGTGTAGTACGCTGTTAACTTACGGGAAACCTACTTGTCCTTCTTCTTGTCCTTCTTCTTCTTCTTCTCCTTCTTGCGCTTCTTGCGGTCCGCGTGCACGTCGTCGTAAATGGTCTTGTACTGCACGAGCTTGTCGTCGTAGACCTTTTGGAAGTCGAGCGCCATCTGGTGCACGGGCGTGCCCGCGGGGTTGAACGTCTTGGCGTTGTTGACCAGGAGCGCGACGTCCTGCGTGAGCTGCGAGAGCTCGACGTACTCCATGCGCTGGATCTTCTCGCCAATGCGCGTGAGGTCCATGGGCACTTGGATAAAGTCAAAGTAGTTGGGGACGCCGAGGCTCTTGCAGTTCTCGCGCGTGTACTTTTCAATGAACGGGTTGCCCGGCTTGCCGTTGATGCGCCACGCTACATGAACATGAGTACGCAATGTGAGGAGAGGATGCGATCGGCGTACTCTTCCACGTCATGCCCTTGAGTTCTTGGAGGAAGGGCAAGAGCACCGTCTTGAGCGTCTCGGCGTCTTCGCGGTCGCGCTTCTTCTTTTTCTCCTTCTTCTTCATGTCCTTCTTCTCCTTCTCCGAGAGCGCGCTCGCGTCGATGGCGTGGTCACCGAGCGTCGACGTTGGCGGCGGGCGCACGAGACCGGAGCGAGGTGGCGCGGCGCCGTTTGTCGCGGATGTTGTTCGGTACACGGCGCTCGGCGTGGGCGCCGTCGTTGGGAACTGGAAGCCCTTCTGGATGACGTGGTCGGGGATGGCTTCGATGGGCCGGCCGAAGGCGACGCCTTCCAGCACGCTCAGGAGCGAGACATTGGAACTATATTTACTGATAACGTCTGCTGCACTCGAGTTACTCAAGCCCAAGCCGCGGAGGAGGTGCTTGTGGCCATCAGGCAGCGACGCCTCGCCCATGGCCTTGAGCGGCGCCTCCAGGCGGAAGTGCGCCATGAGGTCAGACCGACTCAGCTGCGACGGCCCGACCCAGTCGTCACCCCGGCGGAGGTACACGTCGTCCGGAGACCCGAGGTCGACGACCAAGGGCGTTGCTTCGGCCATGCTGCAACCGAGCAAATTCGAGACTGTGATTATAAAAACGTGGGGAGAAAAGGAAGGTTACGATTGAGCGAAAAATACATCCTATTTTAGCCAATCACAGCTGTCTTGTCGCTTAGGACCGACCAGGTGTCGGTAAAAAGACAAAGCCGCCGGAACCAAGGTGCTCGAGAGCTCTGCTACCTGGTGGCTGATTGACCACAACAGACCACTGACACCACGTGCCAACGTGCATACGCTCCAACTAAAATGTCTTTGGTACTCATCTTAGTCGTGCTCTACCAAATCTTATGGCAATCGGAGCCTGGGCGGAGCGAGTTCACACAAGCAAGACACGGACTGTTGATGAATTCAAGGATAGAAGTGCTATTACTCAGCACCCTTGGAGCGAGCACGACCTTCTGTCATGCGACCATCGCTTGTGTCGTCGCTGGATCACTGTGAGCTTGGTGATCGGGTGTCTTTTCAAGCAGTCTGCGACAGCCTGCAGGAAGGAGGCTCTTGTCGTTGAACCGCTGCATGAGGGAATGGCACTCGGCCTCGGAGATCGGGGCGGCACGCTCGTCCATCTCATCGAGCCGACGCGAGATGCGCCGGATGAGGAAGCTGGTTGTTGGCATGATGCGACCAAAGCGAAAATGACCTTGGCCCGAAATCGAAGCCCAGCAACTTCAACGTCAAGCCGACCAATGGCAACGCTGGAAAATCTTGGCCCCATAAATTCCACCAATGGCCTGCCAGTGCTCGAAGGGAGTCGCTGCGAGCTGCGTCCCAGTGTCGACAGGACAGACGACTCGACAGCCCCGAGCGCCAAGTACTAGTAGCCAACTGAGGAAGCAGTATCTTTACGATGGGCCTAAGAAGCTCCACGCCAACGACTTGGTAGGCGCAGAGGGTGCTAATAGGGTCGTCTGGACTGGGATTGAGGGAATTCCTTTGGCCGGGCTTGGCACAGTGAAGCCATCAACAACCCAAGTGGTTGTCAGGGTCTTCTTGGAAGAGAATGGGCGGACGCTACGAACAAGACCTTTCTTGACCGAGATTACGCAGCCTCGGTGGACGACGTCATGAGCGACTCGACGACCGCAGCCTCCATTTCCTCGTAGGTGTACAAGAAGCCGTTGGTGATTGTGCACACGAGGTACGCGCCGTCGGTTGTGCGGAGCTTGACCCACGGACCGTTGTTTGGCAGCTGATACCCCACACAGCTGCTGTCGCTGGTGGAGAAGTCGAAGACCTCGTGCATGGACGCCGTGTCAATGTGACCGCGCAACACGGCACATTCGCCGTCCACGACGAGCTCCGAGACGCAGTTGCCGCGGTTGTCCGGTCGACTCGCATCGCTGTAGCTGGTGTCGCACATGACGGTCTCAAAGACGCCGCCATCGGGCGATGGCTGCTTGACAATCGTGGGCGAAATGCCGTGCGGCGTGTGGCCCATAATGACGCGCCGGACGCCATCTTGCCAGAGACGTGCAACGACGTCCTCGGGCAGCAAGCGGGGCATGCCGGACGGGTACAAGTGGCGGCCGTTGATCACGCTGTGGGTGGCGACCGGAAGCCCGTACGCTTGGAGGCTCTGACCGCCTCGGTACGAGTGGTCCGGCAGCCACGTCGGCTGCGCTATCCACCCGGCCAGCTGGCTGTCGTACCAACCATTGAGTGCCGAAACCCACGACGCAATCGAGAGGTCGTCCTGGGGCTTTTCGGACGACGGCACGTACCCGACGCAGCCCTCGCCGTCCTTGTTCATGACACCTCCGTGGACAAACAGATTGGGTCCATGCACGTAGCTGAGGACGCAGAGCTGCAGGTATTCGCGAAGGATGCCACCCGCCTCGACCGACGAGACGTACGATGCCACGACGTCCTCGTCCGAGACGGTGTCGGCTTTCGAGTCCTGGAGCTCGGCGCGCCGCCGTTCAAAGTCGCCGTCCGACCCCATCGTGTGCTTGAGCATCCACTTGACTCGGTTCACCTTCGCTCATTCATGACGTGATCGCGAACTAGCGCACGTACTTTGTTGTTAACACTTGCCAGCATGGACGCGGAGACGGTGTCGGGCGATTGTTGCAGCACTTCGTTGCACAAGAAGTCTTTGACACTGACACGCCCCTTGGTTGGGACCCAGAGCGGGCCGTCCACGAGATCTACGTGGCCATGCTCGTAAGTGTGCTAGGGCAAATTAATACGACCTCGGCTCATCGTGGCCAGGTCCAGCTCGGTCGGCGTGAGCTCGGATGTGAAGCGCATCTTGTTGACATCACGGTTGCCCGCAATAAGAACAACCCGCGTCGGGTACTTGGTTTTGATGTCAATAAGGAGTCGGTATAAACTACACAGGGCAATCATCGATGACGTTGTCGTGGTGGCTGCCATGTACCGCAACGTGCCGAGGCCCTTGTCGCCCGCGTCGCCACCAAAGACAAAGATGTAGCCTGGCCGAAGCTCCAGACGACCGTTGCTGTCGTAGTAGACGCCTTCGGAGAGCGCCACGTATCTGTTGAAGTAGTCAATGTTGCCTTCGACGTCGGTGCAGTAGCAAAGCTTCATGCCCGTCATCGCCGGCGGGCAATTCAGTTGTGCTGGCTGGCATTGACATGGCTTCTTCGAGGAACCCCCTACAGTAGAAATCAATGCCACCCCCTCACCTTATTGAAAACCATATTGCCGTATTGGCCAGGACCCCGTCCCTACCCTGCAAAAACGTGGCCCGCCACCAGCTGGCACAGATATTAGTTGTCGTTTGAAACGCACCAATCCGAGCGAAGATCCGTGGCGCCCGTTTGCCGACCACTTCCTGTTCTCAAGAGTATCTCAACTTGAAGCCCCGACGTGACCGCTGCTACCTCGACTTCTCTGCGCAGCCCATTCGATCCCAGAGCGGCTTGCTAGATGTGGGCTTGAAGCAGACCAGACAAGTTCATCGCACGACAGAGCGCCCAGGGCCAAACGCACAGCCTCTGCACTTGGTAGCCGACTGTCAAGAGACTCGAGGTGGCACCAAGCTAGCAGCCCCACATATCGCGCGGTCATGTCGTCACCGATTTGAGTGTAGATGCTCTCTCTGCGCAGCACACTTTGCAGACAGGGACGACGATCGAGTACTCCACTCTGATTGAGATAGATCTGAGATTGTATATAAGAAATGAGGTGATTTGAAGAAATATTCGTCAGTTCAGGTCTGCGGCGACGAGCTGGGTCTGCGTCGGTTGCGACGGTTCGTGAAGAAGTCACTTGCGTCGACGAAGCGTGCTTGGTTGTACGGGATCGTGCGGTTGTTCTGCACCCAAGTACAAGTTACCATGCCCCAATGCTTACTTCCATTCCGGCGACTCGACGTCACTGCCACTTTGCCCTAGTAGCCAACTAGGAACCGGTATTACGTAATTACATCTACGCTCATGCGAGCTTCGTTGGGATGTTTACACGGTCTCTCTACTCGATGATCTGGTACCGCGCTTGGCGAAGCTTGGTGGCGGCGACCATACTCGCGACAAAGCCGATGCAACCGACGCCGAGAAAGGCGAGCCCCAGCTGCGCGGGCGAGTAGCTGTCCAGCGACACCGACGGCGGGGGCTCCACCGCCATGAGATTGGCCTCTGCTTTCCGGAGACCGTCCTTTTGCTTGGGCGGTACAATGTCGTCGGGGTGGGGCGTGCGGTGCGCAGTCGTGTGCGCGGGTTTCTCGTGGGACGTGAGCTGCGTCGCGTTCGCTTCCGTGATCTCGGACGTGTCGGTGACCGGGTGTCTCTTGGAGCGCGCGTCGTTGAAGGGCACGAGACCGTAGATCGAGCCGCCGTACGCGGGCTTCTTGGTCCAAATGAGCTCTTCGTCGCTGATGTCGGGCACCATGTAGTGGCAGTCGGACTCGATTGCGAGGTTGTTGCTGCCGCGGACGATCTTGAAGAAGCCGTTCTCGCCCCAGTAGGTACCCCACGAGTTGCGCACGTTCCAAAACTTGACGCCGTGCTCTTCGCCGTAGCCGACAATCTCGACGTCGTGGTCAATGTCCATAAAGCCGGTCGTGTCGTTGAAGATGCCGGCCGCGTAGTCGTACTTGAACCCGGAGCTCACGGCGATCCCGCACGTGATCGGGCCCTTCTGGAGCTCCTTGATCATCGCTACCTCGCCTTCCAGGCGCCCGTATTCCTTGGCACGGTACCGGACCATCTTGGTGACTGGAAAACACACGGCGACAGCCGGGCTCTCGGGCGTGTACATGCAGCTAATCGCAGTGTGCATGAGGATCGCCATGTCAACAGAAGAGAACGTACTTCATGCAATAGCCCTCGGGTGGGCACGTGCCGTTGGTGTACTTGGTGTGGTCGGTCGCATTGTACGGAAGACACGTCTCGTCCGGAAGGCCATACACGCGCATGAACTCGTACACGTCCGCGGGCTCGCCGCCGCCGCAGCCGTCCGAGAGGCCGTGGCCTGGCGCGCAGTTGAGGAAGCTCTGGCGCCCGAGCATGACGTCGGGGCCGCGGAGACCGAGCTTGTGGTTCATGATCTTGATGCGGTCGTTGGCGCTCGAGAGCGACCCGTGCGCAAAGCACGACCCGCAGTACTGCGGAATGTGCTGGTTCCACGACGTGGTGCACATGCCTTGCTCGCACCAGTCAAAGTGCTTTGGCAGCAGCGCCAGCTCCTGCTCGTCGCGCGTCCACGCGTGGTGCTTGGCCGCCGATCGGTGCTTCCACGTGCGGTGGCACTTGTTGCAGTCCGACTTCTTGGCTGCGGCAACGCCCAAGAGGACCGCGATCGCCAGAGCTCGCCACGCCACCATGCTGCAAATCCGAGTATGAGACTCCTTGCGTGGCGCGGTGGGCGCACTTCAAGTACGATTCCGTTCAAGGGACGTGGTCATATCTTGCGTCCAGTAAACGTGAGCGACAACGACTTCAAGTCCATACAAACCTCAAGTAGATGGGAGCCTGCATTTCATTAAAAGGGATCGCACGAGCACCACGCAAGCGGGATCCGAACGCGCGACAAGATTCACCAGGTCCAAAGTCGGTTATGAAAACACGGAAGCGCATCTGCGTTGCTGAGCGCTTGACTGACAAAGCAAGCACCTAGGCACCTCCAAGCTCGTCTCATGTCAACATGGCATGCACGTGCCGTGAGTCGTCCAACGGGACAGGGCCGGCAACTGCGGTATCAGCGTACCATAATCTAGTTTTCCTAGCAGACGACTGAGTCGCACTGCGTCCTTTCTCTTGGTGTCTTGGGCACTAGTGCACGCTTCTATAAGGCGAAGACAAATATGTATGACTGCTAGTACTGAAGGCAGTGATGAGCAAGAGGTGTTGGGCGTTGTGACACGAGGGCGCGGGATTCTGATTCGGCGAGCGAATACCATTGGATTTGTATAGCATACAATGCCTGAGAGAGGCGTCGGTTAGGAACGCCAATTGCGCGATTGGGCCCGTGCGTCGAGAATGTATTGCGGCGGGGATGAGCTCAATGCGATTGTCTGCGACTTTGGGAGCTACCGCGCCCGCATGGGCTTCGCAGGCGAGGACGCGGCCCGGTACGTCGGTCCTCGCAGCGGGATCTTGAAGGATGACACGAACGGCGTCATGACGACCGACGGCCACGTGGCCTCCATGGCCAAGCTCGAGGCTGCGCTCGACGAAGGCTACGAGCGGCTCGCCGTCGAGTCGTCGGGGCAGCACCCGGTGCTATGGAGCGAAAGCAGCCTTCACAACGTGTCCACGTCATCCAACGAGAGCAAGAGCGACCGCGAGGCCCTCGCCGAGCTCTTCTTTGAAAAGTACGATGCGCCCGCGTACTTTGTGTCCAAGGCGGCCGTGCTCACGTGCTTTGCGAACGGCCGAAGCACGGGCCTCGTCGTGGAGATGGGCCATGGCGCGACCTCGGTCGTGCCCGTCCTCGAAGGCTACGTCCAGGCGCACAACGTCGTTCGCCAGCCCGTCGGCGGCGCCGCCCTCAATGCGTTTCTGCGCGCCCGCCTTGAGGACAAGCTGGCCAAGCTGCCGTCCGCCACAGCGCTCGCGTCGCTCCCGCTGCACGATATCAAGGAGACGGTCTGCCGTGTCTCGGAGACGCTCTTTGATGAAAAAGCCAACGGGCAGATCCCGCAGATGCCGTACGAGCTCCCGGACGGCACCCAAGTCGCGTTCGGCACCGAGCGCTTCAGCGTCGCGGAGCGCTACTTTGCGTACGACACAGCCGCCGCGAGTCGGACGTCGCATGCTGTGGACGCGTCGTCTGGCATCTTTGTCCCGACCATGATCTGCGAAGGCGCGGCCAAGGGCGACGCCGACACGAAGAAGGAGCTGCTGCAAAACATTGTTTTGACCGGCGGCTCGTCTTGCTTTGAGAACATGCCGACGCGCCTCGAGCGCGAAGTGTCGGCCATGGTCACGCCGTACAAGGTCAAGCTCATCGCAGCCGCGCATCCCGAGCGCAAGCTCGGCCCGTTCCTTGGCGGCTCCATCCTCGGGTCGCTCGGCTCGTTCCACGAAATGTGGATCTCCAAGACCGAGTACGCCGAGCACGGCGCGTCGCTCGTGCAGAAGAAGTGCCCGTAAGCGCTAACTAAGGACGGCTGCGTGTTTGCTATAAGTACCTTGCGACGCGAGCCTCTGAAAGGACCAGCAGTCGGACGTTAGCTCAGTTCCTTGCCTGCCGAGCGTGGTCCGTGCGCAGTGGGCGCGTAGTCGCTGCACGCGTTGTCGGGGTCCTGGCATGTCCGATTTGAATTTGAGTTTGAGTTGTTTTGGCGGCAAAGCCGTGGGGTGCCCATCCGGATAAACGGACTTGGCGAACATGCAGCCCGAGATCGAGCGGGAGATGCGGCGGATCCGCAACGCGATGCGGGCGCTGGACGCCAACGTCAAGAAGCTCGCGGCCGTCAACAACCACATCGTGACCTTCAACAGCCGCTTCGGCGGCCTCATGACGGGCATCTCGCTGCAGCAGTCCTGCATCGAGCCGCCCAAGAAGAAGGCGCCGCCGCCGTCCAAGATTCCGGTCCTCGCGCCCGTCATGAGCGCCAGCCCCACGACGCCGACGGACGCGCCGAGGCCAAAGAAAGCGGCAAAGTCTGCGCCCAAGCCGCCGCCATCCCGCACCTGGAACTGGCCCAAAGGTACTACGTACCTCCATCCATCCGCCTTGCCATCATGACCCTAGGCGTGCGGTCCAAGATTCCGAAGAAGTACCAGACGCCGTCCGAGATGAACAAGGTCGAGCGCATCCTCTTTGTCCTCGCCGACTCGCTTCGGGGCATGTACGTGCCCTCCATGGCTGTCCGCTGCACAACGTTGACCACGCTAGGGCCATCGGCGACCTCGTCAAGGCGACGCAGGTGACGGTCATCCAGTGCAAAGAGATCCTCCAGACGCTCATGAAGCTCGAGCAGATCAAGCGCAAGCGCGAAAAAGAGGTAGGCGTCGACCTACGAATGAGGATCTCATATTCTGTATGGTTTGCTGGATCCAGGGGTTTATCTACTGCCGGGCATAACCAGGCTAATAGACCATCTCGTGTCGTCCATGTGTGCATCTAGCCCTCGTCGTCGTCGTCACGGGTCGCGCCGGGCGGCGTCTCGGTCGACTTGCCAATCACGACGTCGGCAAAGCTCAGCGACCGCGACGGCGACAGCGACGAGTACGCGACCGCGCCGTCGTCCAGCACGGGCTTGGTGAGGAGGTCGTTGACGCACGCGCTGTGGCGGCGCTTGGGCTTGTGCTTGTCCTTGCTCTTGGAGGCCGACGTCACCGTGCGTTCGCGCGGCGTGTGGCGCACGGGCGACGCCAGCGCTGTGGCCTCGAGAACCACGGGGTACGTGAAGCCCTTCCACTTGGGCTCATGCGTGCACGAGAGAATGCTGCGGAGGAGGTTGGTCGGGTGCAGTGCGACGCCGCCAACGTACGGCGACGACGGCAGCGGCGTCGGCTCGGTCAGCGTCACAAACGCAGTCGAGAGCGCGCGGCGGATCTGCATGATGCGAAAGCAGTTGCGGCCGACGTTGTTGGCAGGTCGAAGCGGGTCTTCAATGTACACGGGATCAAACTTGTGTGGATCGTAGTCGTACGTCGCCCAGTTGTCGCGGTGGTGAAGGTGCTGGCGGCGCGACCCGGGCGACGACAAGTTGAGATTCTCAAATTGATCCATCTGAACCGCGTGCCAGCCGGCCGCGACCGGGCCATACTGGTGGTGTTCGCGGCTCAAGAACGACCGCGTCGCGACGCTGATGCCGGTCGCGCGCGGGTCCAGCTTGTTGCCGTAGAAGTCCATAAAGCCCAACAGCATCGTGCCAAAGTCCGACGCGCTCTGCGACGAGACCGACTGGTTGCACTGCGTCGCGACAGTCGCGTCAAAGCCGTTGCCGCCGGCAAATTCTTGCAGGAAGCGCGTGACGAGCAGCAGCAGCGCGTAGGACGAGAGGCCGCCCGTGTACGCGACGCCCAGTCCGCGCTCAATGATGAACGTCTTGAGCACGACCATGAGCGGCGTCAGCGCGGGCAGCTCGTGCACGAACGAGTGTACGAGGTCGTTGGTCGATAGCCCGTTGTGCCCCGGCCCTTCAAACGAAATGTCGAGTCGGACGTTGTACGGCGACGTCGTCAGCAGCGTAATGATCGGGATTGACGCGTTCGGGATCGTCTTGACCGACTCGGGCACGACCCACGGCTCGGTGCGCAGCTTGCGCGCAAGGTGCTGCTGCCATGTCTCCTTGATCGCGTTGCGACCTTCGAGGACGCCGGGGGCCTCGGCCGGCTCGTCGCGCCGGACTTTCGGCAAGCAAATGACCAAGTCGAGATCGCTACATACATGGTTATCGTGGAGATAGCGCATTTGGTACACGCTCGTAAGTCGTACCTGGACGGCAGCGAGAGGCCCGTGACAAAGGACCCGTACGGCCGCACCTGCGCGCGGGGCCAGAGCGCTTGGACGGCCGAGACGCAGAAGCGACTCACGGCCGTGTGGGCGGCGAGGCGGTGCTGTGTCTCAGCTTGCAGTTGCGATACAAATTCGCAAATGTCCCAGTGCAGCTTGCTGCGGGGCGGGAGGAGCGAGAGCGGCACCGACACAAAGGGCGTCAGCACCGGCGCCGGCTCGGGTGTCGTGACGATGGGCGGCGGTAGAGCAGTCGACTGTTCTTGCTTCCACTGCGTGAGCTCGGCCTGGACGCGAAACAAGGTCGACTGCAGCTCGGCCACCGTGGTTTGCAGCGCCGCCATCTCGGTCGTCAGCGTGGCCACGCTCTATTTGGCACAGAACGTCAAGCATTTTACAGACAAGTTGTCGCCTTGCGTACGCTCGCGTACTCGTCGCACTGCCGCTGCAGCGCCTCCACGCGCGTTGCCTGCTCGTCGGGCACCGTCGTCGTCGTCGTTGGGGACGTGCTGGCGTCGACGTGGCACTTTGGGGCAGGTACGTCGGCGCGCCACACGGTGCGGTCTTTCGGATATGTATCGTCGTCCGGCCGCCACCCGAACGCACTCCACTCTTCGCGGCTGCCAGAGGACTGCGAGAGCACGGACGACGGAAGGTACCACTCGCACGCCGGGTCGTCGGTCGGGCCCGGAAAGTAAAAGGTCGCATCGGGCGTCGGCGACGGCTACAAGAAGCAAACGTGTTGTTAGCTGTTGGAGTATCGCAAGAGGCAACGTGGTACCAGCGAGAACGGCGCTGCGAACGCGTCTCCAAAGTCATTCGACTCGTCTTCGTCTTCGATAAAGTAGTGTTGGTAGCGCATGCTCGGCTTTTGCGGCGTCAAAAAGGTCGAAATGTCCAGAGGTGTGTCAAAGCCCGGGTTCGTGTCGACCGAGACGCGCCGGCGCCGGGGCGGCGTCACGGGCTCTTGGTCCAGATTCAAAAGCAGAAAGCCCGGCATGCGCTCGTCGCCACTGTGCAGCACTGGGGGTATCGCGACCATCTTTTTCTTCTTCTTCTTCGTTCGCTTTGGCTTTGGCGGTATGGGAGCGAGCGCAACGACGCGCTCAACCAAGTCGTCGAGCACGAGCTTGACAACGGCCTTGTCGCGCTGGGCCTGCTTGAACTGCCGGCGCATCTCGGCATGGACAAGACCCAGGCTCAACGCGTGCAGTTCCTTCTCCCGCTTCTTCTCTTTGGCCTGGCGCTTGTGTTCCTTGCGTTTCCGCTGCTTGGCCGAGAGACTATTGCTTGTTGGTGCTGAGGTTGGTGCCAGTAACGCAGGCACTAACGACGCTTCGAGGAGCCCAGTGCACGCAGTCTGCAAGTGCTCGGCCCAGAGCATCTTGATGAGTGCAAACTGCGGTCGAGCGCCGGCCTCGGCGAGTCCGCAGCTGAAGATGGCTTCGGGCGTGGCGACGGGTGACGGTGCTGGCTGCATGATCTCAGTCACGAGACTCAGCGACGCCCGCAGCGCTGGCCACGAGCGCCCGCCAAAGTCGAGTAAGAACGTTTGCGTCTCCTGCTGCACACCGAGAAGCACGGTTGCCTGTGTGCTAGCGTCGGTGGCGACCCACTGCGCAACGAGATGCCGCTTGGCGTAGAGCCCGATCGACGGCACCGACTGGGCCTTGAAATGACGCCACATCTGAAGCTCCTACAGCCCCATCAGCGAATGGTCAATGCATGTGAACGTACCATTTGGTGCGCCACGTACGTCGCCAACGAGTAGTACCCGAGGTCGGCAAGCCACTAGAGACAACTACCGGTCAGCACTTTGAGAGGATGGACGGGTATCGGCACCGGCTGCTCGGCCCACGGCAGCGTCTTGAGCGTCGCCTCGGACGGCTCTTTGGCCAAGAAATGACCCTTCATGAGCACGTCCATGAGGCGCACGAATCGATCGACGTCCTCCACGACCGTTGTCGACGGCGAGATCGTGTCGCAGGACTTGGTGCCGTTGAAGATGCGCAAGCTCGCCACGAGCTCGGTGGCCGCCTCGTCGTACGGCGCCGAGTAGGGCACTACAAGCGCATGAGCCGCTCGTCAAGATAGGCAAGAGCATTGTACATGTGAGGTCGTCGCCGTCGCGCGTACGCAACAATGGGCGCCGGCTAAACGTACTACGCGGGCCATGAGCTGACAGTGGCAGTCGCATGAGCCTACGCGCGGGAAGCCTCCTTGGCCTTGAGTGGGCGAAGCACGTGGAACTGGTCAACGCGCGCCTTAAGCTTGGACTTGGCGGCCGCCTTCATTTCGATCACGAGGCGGACAAAGGCAGCGTCGACGACCGTGAACACGGCCGCGCGCTCGGTCGCGCGGAGGGCGAGGAGCCACTGCAGAACGCGGCTGCGCTCTGGGGATGGCCGCCGCAAAGCCATGCGCGCCCGTCCTTCGGACGCGAAGAAGGCGGTGGCCTCGGCCAGTGCGTCGAGGAGCTGGTCGCGGTCCCGAGCGTCGCCCATCGTGGATGCGGCCTTGAACGACTGAACGAGCCAATCGACGCTGCGCAAGGCCTGCGAACGGAAATAGTGTTATTGAATAGTCGACCGCCAGGCCAAGCGCGTCGCTCGCCGCTCTACGAAAGCTTACAACGCTCGTACTAGCATGTGCGTGCTCAAGGTACCTCGCTGCACGAACTCGCCACGCTGTGTAGCCACGTGCATCATCCAATTCACACTATTTCACGGACTCGACCTGGATCACACTCAACTGGCGGATCTTCCGACGGTGAGGAGCATGGCACGGCTCGTGGCTTTCGATGCAGAGGTCCTCGACCATGAAGCAACGACGCGCGCGATAGAGCAGCTGGTTCGGACGATCGACGAGCTGTGTGGTGCATGCTACGGCCCCCGCGGGCGGTAAGCGTGCCGGACGCCATTGACCGCACGCCCATCATGCTAACCTAGCTGCATCATGCTCCGAGCCAACGAGCGCTGCGGCGACGCCATCACAATCACGTCCACAGCGGCGCGTATCTTTGAGCGCTCCAAGTTGACGCGTGCAGTGGAAAGGCCATCTTGCTCAAGAAGTTCTTGGTTGTAGTGTGGCCACGTCATCGCCCGTCGCGACCTTGTATTGCCAGCTTCTCCAGAGCCACGTACGCTGCATCTTCACGTGTCTTGCCGCGTTGCAGCGTGCTGTAGATGAAGCAATTCAAGGACCACGGGCTCTTCGCAGCGCTCTTCTCGTCCACGTATCCATGGCGTCGTGGCGTCTATACTCAGTCGTCTCCGTAGCTTGCTGCGGGAGGCGCTCACCTCGCTCCAGGACATTTCCCGATCCCAAATCATCCAAGGCAAAGCTTTCGCTCCTTCTCTTCCCACTGTCATACAGCTAATGGTAGGCTACACGCTGGCGCTGCAGTGGTCGCAGCGCTTCTTACGCGACCCGGCGCAGTGCCACAGCCGTCGCGAGGTCGCGTGGAGCAACGTCGACGCGATTGCAGCCGTGATCACCGGCGTCTTGCGCCCCAAGACGGCGGTCGCAGCGCTCGGGAGCGCGCTTCAGCACCACGTTGGCCTCGTGCTGGAGGCATTCGTGCACGTGTTACAAGACGCGCTGGACGAGCCGCACGAAGCGCGGCTTCTGCGCTTTGTTCGCCTCGACGCCCTCGACCCGATCGCATCCTGCGTACATTGCTTCGCCTGCATCCTGCATCATGCGTCCTCCGGACGGCGTAGGTGCATTTGAACACGCTGTTTCTGGACGTGCCAGCGCCGTGGCCATATCCGCCGCTTGTCGACGTCGTCGTTGCGCTCTACAGCATCTCGCTGCATGCGCCCGACGACCCGTTGCACGTGCAGCTTGTGGCGGACGATGTCGACGTACGTTCTCGTCACTGCCGAGCTGTACGCAGGGCGAACGATAGGTCATGGATGCGCTCACAATTGAGGCCGATCGGATGACGTGGCAGCGCTTGGCGACGCACTTGGCGTCCTTACGCGTCACGATGGTGCTGTCGCAGAGGAAGATTCCGCTGCCGCTCATGCACCTCCTCGCCAAGCATCGCATCGCGAGCGTCGAGCGGCTCTCGATCAAGCACATAGGTAGGACGCACTGTGTGATGGACGCAAGGGACGCAGCTTGCGCGTAGGCGCCGTGCAAGCACTCTCAGGCGCGGCGCTGCTCGGCGACTGGCACGCACATGTGACCAAGAAGGACCTCGGGCACCTCGCGCGCGTCCGCGTCGACGGCGCCCACCTTGTGCTCTCCACAAACGACCATGCGCTTCCTAACACAGCTGACGGGCCGTCGATCCTGTCGCGGGCGCGGGCCGTCGTGACCTTTGGCTTGGCGTGCCCAGATACCCACGCTTACGACGAACTCACGCACGCAATCCACGTAAGGCCTGCGTCCTTCCTCCAAGATCATCATAGCTTTTAGGCTGCGATGGATATACTCACCAAACTCCTGCACGCGCCGATCGTGTACGGCGGCGGCGGCCTCATGGAGCTCGAGCTCGCCGAGCACACGACGACGACGACGACGATCGTGTACGGCGGCGGCGGCCTCATGGAGCTCGAGCTCGCCGAGCACCTGGAGCGACGCGTCGATGGGATATCGTCGCGTGGCATGGACCGCAGCGCTGGCGTCGAGGTGCGGCAGCTACAGCGGGTGCTCAAGGCGTACATCCATAGCCTCCGGGCGCTCGTGGCCCGCATGAACCCTGCCGGCGTCATGCCATCGGCCTTGAGGGCGCGACTGCGCAGTGCGCTTGACGGGATGCTACCACCACTTGGCAATAGCGGGAAAACGAATTATAGCCAATCAGATGTGCCGGCAGAGGTGGACACCGCCTGTGATTGGCCGATAAGCGTTGAAGGGCTCATTTTGGATTTCGGGTCGTCGAAATTGGCCGCGCTCTCGACCGGCGTCTCGACCGCGACGACGCTCCTCCGCCTGGACGCATCCCTGCTAAGTGCTTCGTAATACATGAGCATCTCCAGCGACGAGGACGACGACCGCAGCCACTCGCTCGCGATGGAGGAGCTCCGCGTCGGCGAGCTCATCGCGTACCACTGCGCGGCCTTCGTCGCCGGCGACCCGCGCGGTCGGCGCGAGTCGATCGGTACGCAGCATGCCTAGAAGGAGGAGTTCATGGCATGGTGCTAGTCGTGCGCATCCGCAGCGACACCAAGCACGAGTACCCGATCAGCATTGTGAGCAACGACATGTACGTTCTCGACATCGGCGCGACGTGTGCAACTACATGCGCGTAGTCTGACGCAGGACTCGATGATCAAGCGCGTGCAGGACGCGGACGGCAACGCGATCGAGCGTCCCGAGGGCATGTGGCGCAAGGTCTACACGTTTACGATGTTCCCCGGGAAGCACCGGACAGCGCAGAACGCCAGCACGATCCTCAAGGCGGCAATGAAGAACGTACGGCGAGAAGACTGCAGCGACTCGTGGCTTCAACCATGCATAGGTCATCAAGGACTCGTATGCGGCCGTCTATGGCGAGAAGCCTGCAAAGGAAGCCAAGCGCGAGAAGCAAAAGAAGAACCGCGCGCCCGAGACAGCCAACATCAGCAAGTTCTTCAAGCCCCTCGGACCCAAGACAGAGCGCAAGGACAAGGACGTCGCTGTCGTGCCTCCAAATAAGACGTTCTCCGAGTTTTCCAAGCCGTTGACGCCCGCCAAGAAGGCCGCAAAGAAGCTGGACGCAATGGCCGAGGATTTTTTCAAGAGCGAGCTCCCGATGACGCCGGCCAAGACCAAGAAGACTGAAGAAGTCCTCTTCACGATGGATGACCTCATCGCTTCTGGGCTATCAAGCAACCGTATCCAATCGTCCCAAAACAGCAGCCCGTGCCCGCCACGTCAGCTGCCACGACCGCCGATGAAGAAACCCGAGCACAAGCCAGCCTTCGCAAACATTGACGATTCCCCGCCGGTCAAGACAAGCACCAAGCGCGTCTCGGACGAGTGTGACGCGCGGCCCGCCAAGAAACCATTCAAAGTGCATCTGGAGCCCGATCCCGAAACGATCGACCCCAACGACGACGACTGGTCGATCCCCAAGAAGAGTGTGCTCGAGTCGCTCGGCCCTGGCCGTGCACCTCGCTCATTAGGCGTGAACTTGCGGCGGCTGCCACCGGCGGGCAGCAAGCGCCCAGCGTCAACGTCGATTTCTGAAACCTCATTCTATTCCGCATCGCCCGCCAAGCGCGTGGGTTCGAGTCCAGCGAAGGCGAGTCCCAAGACCAAGCAGTTTGCCAAGTTTGTCGAGGCGCGGGAGAAGGAAGAGGAAGACGAGAAGGCGACGAAGAGCCCTGTCACTAAGAACAAGTGGCTCCAGCGGCGAGGTCAGACGTCGAGTGCACGCGCCAATGCCAAGGTACTGGATGCCTGATCGGATGGCGGATCTGACGCTTGTGCGTAGCAATCGACGATGACGTCGCACTTTCAATCGCTGTCCTAGAGTAATCAAATTATGTATGAGCTCTGACCAAAACACTGTGTCTCGACCGCATGCCGTCCGCCCGCGTCGTGTCGTGCGGCAAATCTGTGGATGTCTCCTATTTGCGCAAGAGAGGGTCCGCTGAGCTGCAGAGGAGGAATATAGCCTCGTGCAGTTCAGGTGCGTGGAGCCAAAGTGAGCTGGAGGCAAATGGCACCGATGTTGGTTCGTGCGTCCTGTTGATTATGCCTCGTACCCCAGAGCCTAGGCTGTTGACGTGCGGCCAGCTCTCGATGAGCTCTCTCGGTGGAGCTTCTCGGAACTCCTCATGGAAGTACACTGCGATGCGCCTCATCGCTGTTAGCTATCGCGATCGCTACCCGAGGTTCTAGTATACGTTTACTACCGAGAGCTGAACTACCTACCGGTGCTGCTGGTAGGAAGATCTGGAGGGCAGTAAGCCGAAGAGATCGCTCAGATCCTATTGCTACGTGAGGGCGATGGGCGACGCGGATCCTCTTCGCGTCGTTACCAACCTCGACGCAGCAGTGTGTATGTGCTCGATCTCCTGCACATCGCGTGCCATCGTGCGTTGCAACCTCGTTCTGGCCCCTCGCGCTGCCACGTCACGTTCGAATTTGACATCCAGTGCGGCGAATGGCATACAAAAAATAAGTCATCGCTACAATATTAACAGCTCCGAAAAAAGTTACTCTTCGGTGTGGAGCAATTCGAGCTTGGCTTGGTGGAGCATCTCGACGAGGCGTGCGCTCGACGGGCGGAGGGCCGGGTCGAACTGCAGGCAGGCCTTGGCGACCTGGAGGATGCTCGGCGGGCACGTCGGCGAGAACGTCGGGCGCAGCTCGCCACGCGCGACCTTGACGACGATCGACATGTCGGGGGCACCGCCGGCCTTGGAGCTCTTCTGGTCCTCGAACGGGATCTCACGCGTGTCGAGCTCCGAGAGGACGACGCCGAACGAGTAGACGTCCGCCATCTCCGAGTAAATGTCGCCAAGCATGACTTCGGGCGCCGTCCAGCGCACCGTGCCGACACCGGCCGTCAACGTCTCTTCGTAGCTGCGGTTGCGGCTCAAGCCAAAGTCGGAGAGCTTGGCAACCATGTTGGACGTGAGCAAGACGTTCTTGGACTTGAGATCGCGGTGGATGAGCTTGGGCGTGAGGCTGTGGAGGTACGCGAGGGCTTCGGCTGTGTCGATGGCGATGCCGATCTTCTGCTTCTTCCACGTAAGGTTGATCTTGGTGTTCTCCAAGAGCGTGCGGACGTCACCGCCGTCCATAAACTCGGTGATCGCCGAGAGGTCGTAGCCCGACGTCCACGTCGACCCAATGAACTCGACGATCTTCGGGTGGCTAAGGCGGCCCATGGTCTGAATCTCCTTGGAGAAGAGCACGGCTTCTTCGTCGCCCTCGATCATGCGCTTGATGGCCACGGGCTGGCCGTGGTAGTGGCCGAGCCACACGACGCCGAACGCACCGCGCGAGATAGCACGCGTCAAGAGCACTTCGTTGTGGTCGATGCGGTACTGCTTGAGCTCCGGGAAGAGGTTGTCGGTCGGGTCCGCGACCGGCGCCGGGGCTTGGTTGCCGCGGCCACTCTTGTCGGCGCCGCCACGCGGGCCTGTGCCGAGGCCGTTGCTCGTGTTCTGGCGCGGGAGCGTGCCGGTGCGGCCGGTCGAGTTGAGCGACGTCTGGTTGACGTAGTGGTCCGGCAGCCGGTCCTTCTTGTTGCGGCACGACCGCACGATGAAGTAGGCGGCGACGGCGGCGACGACGACGACGACGACGATGACAACGATGATCGTGGTGTCCGACATGGCAAATCCCCAAATGACGCTGGCTTTCGGCCATCAGTTGACTTTCTTGAGGTATGCCCATACAAATCTCGACATAAACATGTAACTCAATTACTCTCTCCCAGCTCGACCAATCGTTGAGTTTGAGTGGCAGATGTTGTCGACTGAGCCAATGAAACGCGACCAACTAAAAAGGACGACGGGCCCAACCATATGGGAGGCATACTGAAACCAAGAGCAAGCGGACGGAGCCGTGCGGTTGTGGTCGCGGATTTAAATTTTGCGCCCACAACCGCGCGGCTCGAGCGCCAACCGGATCGTTGAACGACGTCAGATGAGCCTCGACCGAGTTCTTGCTGGTCTTAGTCTTAGTCTTGGCGTCCATGGCGGCTACTGGTACGTGGTGATTGACAAGCAGCGGACGCTGGCCGAAGTCGCTTCGTTGCGTCGGGACGTTAGGTGCAATCTGGGTACGACGAGCCAATCAGACGCAGATGACGACAACACATCCTGTCCCTGTCTCTCCTCCCTGTGGGGTTGTCGCTGTGTGCAGTTCGCTTGGGATTGAGCTACTCGGTGGCATCAACATCGTCATCAACTTTGCAGCGGATCGTTGCCGATTGCACCTAGCCGCGTACACGACTCGAATGATCTTCCGAAACTGAATAAAGCTTCGTGCTGCTTGTGTTGGTAAGAGACTCATATTCAAAGGCGACATCTACGAGGCTGCCGCTTTGGTGTCGTCGTCCATGGCCGACTCGGCGCGCGTCGCGAGCGTGTAGCGCGACGGCACGGCCGTAAAGTACTTGGCCATCGCAGTGCGGAAGCGCTTCGTGTACTGCTTGGGGTTGAGGACCGTGATCTCGCCTTCGTCCTGGAGCAGCCGCTTCCCGTGGTGCTCGAGGCGCTTGAGAAAGTCGTACTTCGCAATGTAGTCGATGATGCCAGCGACGATTTCTTGCTTGTCGTGGTCGTAGCCGACGAGGAGCGAGTAGTCGGTCACGTCCTGGCTCGCAAGGAACGCCGTGTCGTGGAAAATAGCCGACTTCAAGAGACCCATCGCCGACTCTTGCAGCGGCAGCGGAATGCCTCTCGTCATCTTGACAAAGTTGCGGTCCCACAGCACTTGGTGGTCCGTGTGCTCCATGAACCGACCTTCGAGCTTGCCCTTGAGGTCAAAGAGGTGGTCCACTGTCCGCCCGTACACGAGGTTCTCCATGACGAGCAAGCACAGCGCCGTCTCGGTCGTCTCCTACGCATCATCCTCATCAGCAAAAGCTCGTTCATCGTCATCGACACGCGTACCGTCATCGTGATGCGGTAGACGCCGACAATCTTGCCCAGCATGCTCGGCAGGTTCTCTTCGATCGACGTGGCCATGTACTCAAAGTAGCTCGAGGCCATGTTGAGGAACATCGTGAGCTGATTGGACGGAATCACCTTGCAGATGAAGCGTTGGTCCTATCCAATATTCGGAGCGTCGTCCACTTGATACATTGAAAGAATACTACCTTGGTGCGCATAAAGCCGGCGCCCGACTTGCCGCCGCTCGCGTTCCAGTGCTCGCACTGGCACATCGACTCGATGTACTTGCGCTCGTCCTTGTAGAGCAGCTGCCGCAGCGCGTGGAACTGCGACGCGTAGTACGACTTGCAGCTAAACCTGGTCGCGGCCTGAAACTCATTTTCGTCCACAAAGAGGTGGTCGACGTTCGAGCGCTTGTCCGAACGCAGAGCGCGGAGCATGCCGCTGACGTTCGAGTCGAGGACGAGCAGCACCGGTGGGTCTTGCTTGGCGAACCACTCGTTGCGCTGCTGGATGTACTCTTTCGAGCAGAGCGAGTACGCGACCGCCGACGTCGGCTGGCTGGCGTTCACGAGCACGACGGTTTGGTTCACGCCCCGCGGCAAGCTCGGGTGCCAGCTCAGGATGCTCTTTGGTAGGACAAAGAGGTGCGACTGGTCGCCCGAGCTACTCGACTTCTTGACGAGCGCGTTCGACCCGACGACTTGGGTCCGATTGAGCGACTGCGACGAGAGCGTCGACCCGTCGTGGCTGCCTTCAATGTCCACCATGGACTCGTCCGGGAACGCCACCGCCCCGCCGTAGGTCGAGTAAATGTTGCTGACACTGTTGGCGGTCATGCTCTCCGTTGCTGTGAGGCGCGACACGAAATCGCGCTGACTGGCCGCCGAGTCGATCGGTGGGCGGTGAATGTCCATTGGCGGCGACTTGTGCAAACTCGCAAACGCGTGCGGGGACGGCAGCGGAATGCCAAAGGCCGACGCCGGCGGCTGCTCTTGCTGCATTTGCGCCGAGAGAATGTCAAACCACTGCATCGGCAGCGTCATCGGCGGCGGGTCGTCGACGACTTCGGTTTGCTTGAACGTCACTTTGTTCGACGCCTGACGCAACTCGACGCAGAAGCGCGCCGCGCGCTCGTACGCCTTGCGGAAGAGCGCGTGCTTGGCAAAGACGTCGGCGGGCGGCTGCCGGCGCACCTGCGTCGTGTACATAATGTGCCAGTGGCGCGCAATCTGGCCCATGTTCTCAATCTCCTGCAGCCGCTCCAGCGGCCACGCATGCGAGTCCAAGTGCTTCTTCTCGCCAATCGCGACGAGGTCGTCGAGCGTCGCCTGCACCTTGGTGAGCGTCACGTCGAGAACGCTGTTGGCGACGAGCACGAGCTCCTCAATGTCGGCCGCGTCGATGCTGCTGCGCTGGTCGTCGACATCGTAGAGCCCCGGCCGCATCGCCACATGGAGCACCGGGTGGATCGGCTCGACCGCGATGCACACAATCACGTCCGCGCACGCAAAGTACCGCAGCAAACTCGGGTCCCGGGCGTGCGGGAGGTGCGGGAAGAAGCGCGGGTCATGCGCCAATGGCTGCAGATACAGCAGGTCTTCCACATACTTGCCAAACGAGTAGTGAAGCATCTCGGGCGGCACGGCCGTGTAGATGGGCGACGGCGACGCCTCGGTGGCCACCCACATGAGCGGCGTCGGACTCTGCACAACGCGCGTCGCAAAGTTGAACATTTCGAGCAGCTCTTGGCCCGGGCCCCGCGCCTTGCCCTTCGTGTTGGTCGGCGACACGGTGATGAGGACGCGCCCCAGATCGTGCGAAAACGAGAGCCGCTGCGTCCGGAACGCCGTCTTGAACGGCGCCGACGCCGACTCGAAGCAGTACCGGTGCAGAAACTGCCCTAGCGTGCAGTCGGCATCTGTGTAGAACGCGATTTCGACCAACTCGGACGGCGACGGGCTCTGGTCGTCGAGGCGGCTCCAGCACGCCGAGAGCAGCAGCGTGTCTCGGTTCGCGCCGTGCACGTCGCTCGGGCACCGGCACGCGCTAATGAGCACTTGCTTCTTGACCAAACGGCCCGAGTCCGAGCTCCGTCGGCGGCGCGACACGAGGTTGTCCATGCCGGTCGCAATGCCGTTCGTGCGGCGCCCCGAGAGCCGCTTGCAGTGGCGACAGCGCATCTGCGACTCCTTGAGCGCCGCGCGCATTGAGAGTGAGTGGTCGTTGAGCGCCAAGTACATCGAGCTCGACGCGTGGAACCACTCGTGACGAAAGTCGGCCGTGACGTCAACCGGCGGCACGAGCCCGGACGTTGCGAGCACCATAGTCTGGAGGCGGACGTGGTACGCGGTGCGCACCACGTTGCGCAGAATCAAGCGGACCTCTTTGAGCACGTTTTCCGCGGCGCCCCGGAGCGCGATCGTGCAGCCCTTGGCGTACGCGCCGCCTTCAAACACAATGCACTGCTTCTTGGTGCGCTTGCGAGCGATGGGCGCCAAATGCTTGGCGCCCCGGAGCGCCGTCGTCACGTGCGTCGTCGCGAGGTGGCTCGGCAGCGCACTGACGTCGTCGACGTGCATCTTGGGCACTTCGCTGCTCCAGACGCGGAACCGGTCGCACGTTCCGAGAACGGTCGCGCCAAAGAGCTTGTCGACATGGTCGTACGACGTCAAGAGCGCGGCGCCCGTGACGCGCGAGAGCCGCTCGAGGTCCGCGCGCTTGAGGTTCTTGACAATGACGATGCCGCTGCTCGCCAAGAGCTCTTCGGCGACCCGGTGCACGTGGCCTTGAAAGAGCACAATGTCCGGGCGCAGCGTCCGAATCTTCTCGACCGCGATGCGCATGTACTCGGTCTCTTGGCCCGCAACGCTTTCGAGACTCGAGAGCTTCTCCTTCTCGCGCTGGTAGTCGAGCGACGACGCGACGAGCAGCAGCCGCGGCGACTCGATCCACTGTCGCATCGACTTGCGCGCGACCGCCTTGTGGCAGAGCACGCCGTGCACGAAGAAGCTGTCGCTGACGTGGCCGCCCGGAAAGCATTTGACGCGAAGGTAATGCAAAATGTCGAGCGAGTCGCCGACGTCGATCGTGACCGCGGCGCGTGTCGCAAACTCGAAAATGCGGTCGACGAACTGACTCTGCTCGAGGTACGGGAGCTGCGTGAGGACCGGCGACGCTTCCCAGAGCTGGAGAATGCGCTCGTGCAGCCACTGGTCGGCGTCCGACTTCATCGCCGCCTTGGTCGCTGCGACCGCGTCCAAGAGCCCGGGCACGTCGGCGTCGAGTTGGCACGCGTGCCCGAGGTGGATGCTGGGCGTCAGCGAGAGCAGCGACGCCGACGAGCTCGTGTGCAGCAGGAGCGCCGGCGTCGTCGTCACGGGCGGCGCCAACGACGTCGACGGCAGCGAGCGGTCGCCCGACGACAGCATGAGCGCCTCGACCATGAGCTCGGTCGCCGACCGCGTGCTGCGGACGACGTTGGTCGGTTGGCGGTACGTGTAAAGGTCGTCGCGACTGTTGGAGCGCGGGCGCTGGCCCGCCGCGTGGTTGCTGGAGGCAGCAAGGTACGACGGTTGGGACTTGCGCACGATCGCAGAGAGACTCGGCTCGCTCTCGGCGCGGCGGCGCAACGGCACGACAAACTCCGACTCGTTGCTGACGTTGGTGACGATCGGCGCCGGCACCGCCATTGGCACCAGTTGGACGCGCGGAAACATTGAGAAGAGGTGCAGATCCACCTTGCTTCGCTCCAAACTCGCGGTCGCGTCGTCGACGAGCGAGTTGGCCGCCGTCGAGTCGTGGGTGCGGCCGCTGCTGTCGAGCGCACGAGAGGCCACCGCGAGCGGCGCTGTTGTCGGCGACGTCGATACCTTACCTACGTTGGTCGACGACGGGCGCTTGGCGGTCGGCGGTTTCGTCGGCGGCGGCAAGGCCGGCCGCACGCTTGGAACGACGGCATCGGCGCCGTCGCGCAAGTGCCGGTGACACGGGTGGCACACGAGCTGCTTGCGGAGGTACTGCGCGGCGTCGTGGGGCGGCTTGAACGACGCCGAGAGGCGCGTACAGCACTGGTAGCAAAAGATCTGACCGCAGGACCGGCAGTGGTGTTTCCGGCGGCAGAACGAGAACGGCAGGTCGCACGCATAGCACGCCTTGACGTGCTGGTCCGACATCCAAAAGCGCGTCATAGACACGGCGTGGCTCGTGTCGTCGAGCGCGTCGCCGGTGAACGCGTCGGTGGCATGCGGCGTGGCCGAGATGGACGCGGCGCTCACTGAGCCTTCGCTCTTGTCCATGACAAACTCGTTCGTACCGGGCAGCGCGAGGCCAGTCGGCTGCGGAAACTGCGTAAGGTGGTCGACGTTACGGTCCAGGTGGATCGTCTTGGCGCGTTGGGCGAACACGAGCTGGAGCGATGAGCCTGGCGCTTGGAGGTTGGACCGCTGCAAGAGAATTTGCAGCACCTCGTCGTATGGGACAGTCTTCATCGACTGAAGCGCGACGTCGGTCAAGATAGCGCCGGGCTGGACACCGGCCTCCTTGGCGCTCGACTTGGGGTTCACCGAGTCGACTTGGCACGCGTACGCTGCATGCACGCTCAATGGCGACCGGCGAAACACGACGCCAAAGTCCATGGGCCCGCCCCGCGTGTCGACACGCACCTCGACGATCACCTTCTCGTCCGAGACTGAGGTGAGGCCGCTGGCGTCGTCGCCGGCGAGGTCGAAGTGCGAGAGGCTCGTCCCAAGGCCGGGCCGCAGCGCGCGCTTGACGTCGGCCGTGGGCGACGGCAGGTCATGGGCGAAGCAGTGGCCGATGATCCCGCAGAGCATGCGCGGTCGGCGTACAAAGAGGTGCTTTGTAATTTATACACAGCGCCTCTGGGCCCGTTAGGAAGCGATCTGATTGGCCAAATATCCGGTCGGCGACCAATCCCCATCGAGACGCGCTGAATTTCAGAGAGATCCAAAACCAAAACGGGTAGCATGCGGATCCTCGCGTGGCTGCTCCTGCCACTCGCCGCCCGAGGCGACGCCGCCGTGCCCCGCGCTGCGTACGTCAACTCGATTGGCAATGTCGGCGCCGTCCAGGTACGCTACGCTGGCGGCGCATGGGCCACTGACGAATGCTGCGACAGAACATCCGGCTCGAAGCCGACCTCGCGATCCCCGCCGGGCGCGAGCTGCAGCTGCCAATCACAGTCCCGCCCATCATTATGGCTGTCAATAGCAACGCGCCGGCCAAAGTCGTGTCCGTGACAACGTCGCACGCCGACGGCGCCGTAGGCGTCGGCGAGGTCATCGACATCAGCGTGCAATTCAACAGCGCCATCGATGTTGTCGGGTCGCCCGGGCTCATCCTGCGCACTGGGTGCCATTCGCCGGCGTGTCGAGTCCCCGAGATCCAAACCTTCTTTTGCCGGGCGACGTCAGGTACAACTGCTCCGTGCCTCTCGTGTCCTCTCGCGCATGCTGCACTCTAGGCGCCTTTGCCATTGCGTTCAACGGACAGGCGGTGACCAACGTGCCGTACAATGCGACGCCGTCTGTGCTGCGCGAGTACTTGCGACGGCTCACGTGCATCGCAGAGGTCACCGTGGTCTTCGACGCTGGCGTCTCGGCGTGCTCGTTCCGTGGCACGAACGTCGTTGTGACATTTGACCGCGTGAACTTTGCTGGCGTCGATGGCGACCTGCCACTGCTCACGACAGACGCACGCAACACGGGTGGCAGCAACAAGACGCTTGTGCACCACACATTCCCCGTGCTTTTATCGCCGGTGGCGACTGAAGTCCAAGCCGGCGTCTGCGTCGTCGACCGGACCGCGACGTTTCTCGGTGCGGGCGCGACCGTTGTCCGGTTTCGCTACGTCGTACAACCCGGGGATGCTACCGACGACCTCGAGTACGCGGGCACCGACGCGCTACTCTTGCACTCGGGCGATTCGATGTGCAACCACGGTACGACGATTGGCGCCAACACGAAGCTCCCGGTGCCGGGGCGGCCACCCGCGTGGGCCACAGGCGGCACGTCCAGCCTCGGCGTCAACGCTGCGATCGTCGTGAATACGAGCACGCCCGTCGTCCTCAGTGTGAGCTCGTCGACGCCTAATGGTATCTACGGCGTCGGGCAGCTCATCGAAATTGGGATCGTGATGTCGGTGCCGATCGCGTACACCGGTGCACCGTTCTTGGTGCTTGCCACAGGGGTCAACACGGCCCCGTGTCCGATCGTGCGGGTGGACGGCGGCACGGTCCTCGTCGCGCAGTATGTGGTCGGCCCTGGCCACACGTCGCTCGATCTCACGTACGTGTCGCCGACGTCACTTGTGCTCCACGCCGGCGACAGCATTCGCCGACTCTCGACGTCGCCGACGACCGACGCGAACGTCACGCTGCCGATCAACGGACGCCCAGGCAGTCTCTTTGTGACCAAAAACCTAGTTATCGACACGACATCGCCGTACGTGACGTCCGTCTTCGCACTGTCGCCTGCCGGTGCGTACACGGCGGGCGACGTCGTGCAGCTGGCCGTGACGTTCTCGCGTCCTGTGTCGGTCGTCGGCACGCCAGTGTTTCAATTGAATACAGGGTTCACCGACCTCTTTCCCGGGTTTGTAGTCGAGACCGTACCCACGAACGGCGATGCCCATGTGTTTACGCTTCCCAGCGAACTCGACCTCTCGTCGCTCTCGACGGGCTGTCGCGTCTCGATCGGCGGTCAGCTCTTCACGGTACTGAGCGTTTTGGCTCCATATGTGACGATGGCCGAAGCGTACACGGGGCCCCCGGTGGCGACCCGAACGAACGGTGCGTCGCCGTTGCTGAGAATTTTAGCTCCGGGGTATCAGCTGGCAACGTACGTCGGTGGGTCGACGTCGCAGACTCTGCAGTTTCAGTACGTGGTGCAAATCGGCGACGCGTCCGCGGACTTGGCCACGGTTTCCGATTTGGTCTTTCCGCTGGGTGCCAGCATCCGGCGGCTCTCAACGACACCGACGACGAACGTGACGCCGGATCTACCGGCGCTCGGCAGCATCAACAGTCTCGATGCGAATGCGGCTCTCATCGTCGACGCCACCGCCCCCGTCGTCGTTGCCGTGACGACGACGAACCGCGACGGCGTGTACGGCCCAGGGCAAACCATCGCATTGCTGATCACGTTTTCGTATCCTGTGGCCGTCGTCGGGCTTGGGACGCCCCGCGTGCTCGTAAACACGGGCATCGACCGATTTGCTACGTACGTGAGTGGCAGTGGGACACCGACGCTGACGTTTGCACTGACGACGATGCCGACGGACGCCGCTCCTGCGTTTGGCGTTCTCGGCGCCGATGCCATTCGCATGCCCAACGCGCTCGTCTCGGTGTGTCGGCTCTCGGCGAATCCTCGGTTGCGCGCCGTGTTGACGCTGCCGTCCCTGCTCGTTGGCCAGATTCGAGTCGACCCGCTCGCACCCTCCATCACGAGCGTCGTGTTGGCGTCGGCGACCGCGACGTTGTTTCGTGTCGGTGACAACCTGGATGTGCTCGTGGCATTTACCGAGGCCGTGGATGTGGCAGGGGCGCCGGTCGTTGCGCTGAACGTTGGAACAGCCGTGTTCGTCTCGGGGTCGGGCTCGACCACGCTTCTCTTCCGCTACATCGTCGGCCTTGGGGATGCCACGACGCGTGTCGATGTTGCAACGATCTATGTGGTAACGCTGACGGCGGGGACGACGATCCAGTCGACCGCGACGGCGCGTGCTGCATGCTTGGTCGTGCAGCCGACGTTGGCACTCGACCGTCACCTGCCCGTGCTAAGTGAGCAAGTCGATGTCTTGGCCGTTCGTGGTGTCTCCATCGACGGTCTGTACCCTCTTGGAGCCGTCGTCACCGCGGTTGTCGAATTCACCGACCCTGTCGTCGTTCCCGGGGCGCCGCGTCTATGGCTTGCCACGGGCAACCCCAATGGCGACCAGCCAGCTCTCTTTGCGAGCGTCGACGCCAACAACGTCTACTTCACCTACACCGTCCAGGCCGGTGACGCAGCGTCCCGCATCACCCTTAGCGACTCGAATGCACTGCGCTGCTGGAACGACTTTGGACTCAATTTGAACCCTGCGACCGATGCTGTCAACGTTGTCGCAACGGCATTCGGCGACGCCATCGTTGTCGGCTGGACCGAAGGCCCCGTGCTTCGGGTCAAGCTGTCGAGTTCGAACCCAGCACTGCCGCTTTGGACGCGTCTCGAGACCGGCGCGGGGCTTAATGTTGACGCCACCAAAGCTGCCGACGGACTGGCGTGCGCTACCCTCGGCGCGCAGCTTGTTTGTGCGTGGCACGAGACGAACGGGAATGCCTTCCAGCTTTACGCGGCCGCCTTCAACGGCGTTGTGACAGCGCCATCGTGGACGCTCCTGACTCTGACGGGGCTCAACGTGAACGCCGCGTTCGACGCCAAGGGCGCCGCGACCGTCGCTTTCAACGGTAAGCTGTACGTGGCATGGGCTGAGCTTCAGGCATCGGGTCTCTGGACACTCCGCCTCTCGGTGTGGAACGGCAACGTTCTCACGCCGTCGTGGACGCGCATCGACGGGACGTTGCCACTTGCCGCCGCCAGCGGCCACACGTTTCCGACGTGGCAGGTGTACGGCGGGCAGCCTGTGCTTGCGTGGCAGCAGAGCACGCCCACGACGTCCACCGTGCGCGTTGCCACGTACAACGGCATCGACGGTGCTCCGGTGTGGACCACTATGGACAGCGGAGGGCTGAACGCTGCATCGACGGGACTCGCAGCGCGTCCGTCGCTGGCCGTATGTGCCGGAAGTCTCTATACGATTTGGCAAGAAACACCAACGCCCGGACCCAGCGTGGCGCAGATCCACGTCAAAGTGTTTGGGCAAGGGACGGCGTGGTCGGCGGTATCGCCTTCGGGGGGCTTGACGAGCGCCACGACCACCGCCGGCACGCTCCCAAAGCTTGCGTGTTCGAACGTCGGCAAGCTGTTCGCGTCGTGGCAAGAGGCGACAACTCCGTCAACGCTGCGAATATCGCTCTTCAACATGAACGTTGCACTGCCGCAGTGGACGCTAGTGACAGCCGCGGCCAACGACAATAGCGCCGGGAACGCCGTCGGCGCATCGTTGGTGAGTACAAGCGCATACGTGTACTTGGTGTGGTCCGAGGCGCTGCCCAGTGCCAGCTTCCAAGCCCGCGCCGCAGTCTGGGACGCGTTGCATATGTCGTGGAACTCGGTGACGTACGCGTGCATTCAGCGCGTGGGCTCGGCGTTCAACATCCCAGTGGCCCTGCACTTGCCCGAGATGCACTCGGGGGCGAGTCTCAGCGACCTTAGCCACTTGGCTATCGACACCTCAGTGCCCACGATCATGGACATCCGCTCGGTCAACGCCCCGGCAGGGCTCTACGGCGTCAGCGACACGATTCAAACCGTCGACGTGCTCGCAGTGAGTAGCTCGCCCATCGTCGGCGGTCAGTTCCAGCTGCAGTACAACGGGTATCCGACCGCGTGCCTCGCCTGGAATGCTGCAGCGTCCGACGTCCAAGCCGCGCTCAATGGTATTGCGTCCATCGCGCTCGCTGTCGCCGTTTCCAAGGTTTCTGGTGCCTACCTCGCCGGTGATTTGTTTGCCGTGACGTTTACGTCACCAGCGCTCGGCGTGCAACCGCTGACAATCGGCACCGGTTGCGCTCCACTCACCTGCGCCTCGGGTCTATCGGGTCTCGCGTGTGGTGCGGTCGTCGTCAATGCGGCGCGCTCGGCGACGCCGTTGCAGCCCGGGTTTCTCGACTTCCAAGTCGTGTTTTCTGCGCCAGTGCAATCGTTGGGCGCGCCTCCGACGCTAACAATCGCGACGGGCGCGGGAACCACAGCAACTGCCGTCTACACGCCGGCATCAGCCACCCAGTACATCGACGTTGGGGTCACAGGCACGAGCGTGGTGGCCGGCGGCAGCTACCAGCTGCAATACGGGACGGCGACCACTGGGTGCATCGACCCATTCGTCGCCGACGGGGCCCCAACCTCATTGCGCGCGCAGCTTCTGTTGCTGCCTGCGATTGCCACACTTGGCGTCGCATCAGTTGAGACGGATCGCGTACAGAACGGGTGGCGCCACACCATTATCTTTGCTACGGGTTCCCCACTCGCGCTGACACCGGCGAACGGCGTCTGCGACGGTCTCTCGGGGGCGGTGCAGACGATCGATGTGGCGGCATCGGGCGCGTTGACGTCTGGGGGCTTCACGGTTGGACACGCTTCCGTTGGCTCAGTAAGTGCTTGCTTGGACCACGACGTGTCGGCAGCGACGCTTCAAGCGACGTTGACAACTCTCTTGGGTGGAATCTTTGGCGTGCAAGTAACCCGGCAAAACCTTGCACTGCGTCATCGTTACACGATCACATTCAGCGACGGGACTCTGGCGCAGCGCTCGATTGACGTTGCGACGACTGGCTGCGCGGCATTTGCGTGCACTGGCGGCCCTTGTGCATCGAGCTCCGTCGTCGCCAATGCCGATTACGTCGTTGCCGTGGCCGCCACACCGATCGCAACTTTTCGATATGTTGTGCAGCCAGGAGACAACATCGCGCGGGTCACGCCTCAAACACTCTCTGGTGGCCTTTCTCGCGCCGGGTCCTCACCGGCGGTGTCTGCGAGCACCGTGCTGCCACCGACACTGTCGCTGCCGCCGCTGCAGCTCCACGCAGTAGCGCTGCCAGCCGTTGTCAGCGTCACGCCCATGTCAGCCAACGGCGCTTACAGCACTGGCGACCGCATCTGGATAAATGTGGTGTTCTCGCACGCCATGCTCGTGCTTGGGCGGCCCGCAGTCGAATTGAACTCGAACGGCGTCGCGTTGTATCGTTCCGGCAACCTTACAACGACCCTTCTCTTTCAATACACAGTGCTACCGGGCGAGACGACGGCGCAACTGGACGTGTTTTCGGCGTATTCTCTCCGAGGGTACGTCCTGTACTACGACGCCACGACGTCGGCGTTGGCGCCGGCGACGTTGACGCTGCCTATGGGTGCCAGTGCCTCGAGTAGTCTTGCTGGTCAAAGCTCCATCTCGATCGATGCGTCGATTCCGAGTGTCGTGAGTGTCACGTCAACCAAGCCGGCGGGGGCCTACGGCGCGGGCGAAGTCATTGACTTTACAGTGCAGTTGTCACTGCCCGTCGCCGTGACGGGTGCACCGTCGATTGCGTTGACGAGCGGCGGCGAGGCCGTCTTTTCGCTTGCAGGTGCACGGCAGCTCATTGACATTGGAACGACCGCCGTCATCACATCAGGCCAGTACGCGGTGACGTACGGCTCGTCACAAACAAGTTGCATCAACTACAACGACGTGGCGATGCTGCAGACGCAACTGCTTGCGCTTCCAGCGATTGCAGCCATCGGACTGACCTCGGTCGTCGCCGCACCGTTTGGCGTCGGCACCCGCATCACCGTCATATTTGCTTCGTCGGTGCCGTACGCCGCACCACTGGCCCTAATTCCCGTCCAAGTACCGCAATGTGCGCCACTGACCGCAGGCGTCAACGACAAGGCGTTGGTCCGTCGGGGGCTCGACGCTAGTCTCGTGTTCCGCTTCACAGTAGGTGTCTCGGACGCGATCAACCTTCTCGACAAGGCTGGCGCGGCCATTAGCCTCAACGGCGGGTCGATACAGCGCCAGAGCTTGCAGCCGTCGATCAATGCACTGCTAACGTTACCGACTGTGCAAGTAGCCGGCATTCGCATTGCGGGCGCACCGCCGACGATTGCTCAAGTAACAATGCGGACGGTCGGGGGCGTCTACGGCGTGGCGTTCCCGCCCGTACCCAGTCCTGCGACCGCGAAACCTGGCCAGGTCGTGTTCGAGCTCCAGTTTTCGTTACCAGTTGTCTTTGAATCGACGGTGACCATCGCCTTGAATTCGGGTGGGACGGCGCTCGTCAATGCCCAACTCAGTCCAACCACCTTCTCCTTTGTGTACACAGTGCAGCTGGGCGACGCGACGCCAAGTCTCGAGTTTGCATCCTCTGCACTCACGGGACGCATCGTGACGCTCTCGACGTCGCGTTCGCAGGTGGTGACACCATCGCTGCCGCTACTCGGCCTCTCGGGGGCCAACGTCATTCAGATCCAGTCGACGCTTCCCGCCGCCGTCACCTCGATCACGTCGAATCACTCGAGTGGCAGTATCGGTGCCGGAGAAGTCGTCGATGTGCAAGTAGGGTTCGGCAAGCCCATTTGTACCTTCTCGGGCGTCAACATCCATCCGCGCTTGCCCGCCGATGGACCCGACATGGTTGTTCTTGATGCTCTCACGTACCTGGCGTGGAGCGAGCGGTCGTCGCCAACGCAAAGCATGGTCTATGTCTCCACCTTCGACGGTACTCAGTACCGCGACATTACGCTTCCGGCAAGCGGCGTCAACCGAGATCCTCGGGGCGATGCGGCGCACCCTAAGCTCGGCGTATGGAACAGTGTCGTGTACGTAGCGTGGGCCGAAGATGGTATCATCAACGTTGCCTATTTCAACGGTCAACTGGGGACACCGGCGTGGACGCTGCTTCCGTTCATGGGCACAAATGCCAACCAAATGGCAGTAGCGACGACGCCCACGCTCATCGAGTACCTCGGTGTGCTCTTTGTCGCTTGGATCGAGCGGCCGGTTGCGACGCCGGCAGTCAGCGTCGTTCGCGTTGCTTCCGGCACTGCCTCGGGGGACTGGACCTTCTACGACACTAAAGTTGGCGGCTACGGTCTCAACACCGACCCAGCGACAGAGTTGACACTGTACGAATTCCACTCGCAGCTGTACCTCGCGTGGGTCGAGACGCAAGCGACGACCAAAGCGAGCTCAATTCACGTGGCCATGCTCGCACTGAGCACGATGACGTGGGTGCCGATTCCTCAAGTCGGCGTCAAGCGCAACGCAACGGCCTCGGGTTTGACGTTCTCCGAGCTTTCAACAACCAACGGTAGCGTCTTCAAGTTACACTGGTCGACGACTGGTGTCTCGAACGCGCAACTGCCGCAGCTTCACGTCGCGACCGTGTACCCGCAGTATTGGAAGGAAGAGGATCGACTGCAAGGGTCGCCCGGCGTCGACATTTCCCTCGCATTGTGCCAGGGTAATACCTTTGCAGCGTGGCGACGGCCGATCGCGGGCGTGGCGACGCAAGTCGTCGCTGGTGCTGTCCATGCGTCAGGGTTTCTCATGATGAGAACGTCCAGCCTGAACCACAACACCAGTAACGACGTTCTCGGCCTCAAGCTTGCGTGCTTGCCAACTGGCCTCGGGCTTTTCTGGACCGAGTACGACGGCGTGGCAGCCAAGGCGCGACTCCAAACGGCGCCCGCGACGCTGCCGTTGCAGTGGACGGAAGTACCATTGAACTTTCCTTCGCTCGCACTGACGTCGGGGCTTGTGGCGCTGGGCACCGATCGCAGTGGGTCGTGCGCTTCGGTCCTCAATTTTCGGTTGACGGTGCCGGCGTCAGCGCCGCTCATCCCACTGCTCAACGTCGTCTCGCTCAACACCAACCGTGCTGCCATCTTGGAGGCCACCGCGTTTGGCTCCGCCAATCTCGTTCTGTTTCCAGCCGCCACCGATACGCGCAGTCTCAGCTACTCGACACAGCTAACGATCGACACGACACCGCCGACCGTCCTGGATGTTTCCACCAACGCGACGGCCGGCTCGTACGGTGTCGGCCATGTTCTTTATGTATCTGTGCAGTTCTCCGCGCCCGTGTCGATTTCGCCTTGTGCCACCGGTTCCGCGGCGGTGCTGCTCTTTGAGTCATCGGAACCGTCGATAGACGGGACCACCGTGCACTTTGCGCGGTACGTCGGTGGCAATACCACGGATACGCTCATTTTTGCGTATACCACGGGCGCGTTCGACGCCTTCTCGCATTTTGATTACCCGCTCGTGTCGTCGTTGCAACTGAATGCGACTTGTCGCGGCGCGATCTGGCGTGCCGCCTCGACGCCGACAACCGCGGCTTCGCTGACGCTGCCACTCCCCGGCGGTGGCCACTCGATTCGGCGGGTGCCGATCACGATCCGCAACACGGCGCCAATTGTTACGAACATTGTGGCGGCCAATGCCAGTGGTACGTACTACAGCGGCGACGTGCTCGTTGTCCGCGTCAGCTTTTCGCTGCCCGTTGTCGTCACCGGCGCGCCGAGTCTGTGGCTCGTTGTCCAGCCGAACGGTGTGGTCGGGGACGCGGTCTACGTCGGAGGTTCGGGCACAACAACGCTCTTGTTTCGATATGTCGTGAGCACCGAGGATGCCGGGGCGGTAAGCCTCTGGGACGACCGTATTGCGCGAACAGGAGTTGACTTTACCTGGGCGTTGCGGCTCAACGACGGCTCGATCAAGCGCTTGGCTACCATCCCAACGACCCCGGCGATCGTCGCGTGTCCTGCACCAGGTACACCAGGGTCCCTGGATCTCAACAGTCAACTGGTTCTGGTGTCGTCACCACCACGCGTGCTTGCCGTGACAACCTCCAAACCCGACGGAACGTACGACGTTGGAGAAAATATCGACCTCAGCGTTCGTTTCTCGCTGCCCGTTGCTGTCACTGGTTATCCTCAGCTCGTTTTGAACACAAATTCGTATGGAACGGCTACGGCTTTGTACACTGGAGGCTCGGGCTCAGCGACGTTGACGTTCCGGTACACGGTGCAGTGGGGGGACAGTGCAAACCCTCTCGCGTACGTCGGACCCGACGCCCTCGTTCTTGTGCCGCCACCGGCCCTCGACCTTCTTCAGCCCCCGCCGTTGGCTACGATCCGCTTGGTCTCGACCCACCCAGTGCAGCCCGCCAATTTGACTCTGCCGCCCTTGGGGCCGCTCCCGCAGGTCAACGCTCCGACCAACCTCGAACAGAATGGTCATTTTATCGGGATTCGCACCGACGGCTACCGACCCCTGCGCGTCGTTACGACGGCGTCGAATGGCACATACTGCGTCGGCCAAGTGCTACCGCTCGTTGTGCGGTTTCCAGCACCTGTCGTTGTGACCGGCGTGCCGTCGCTTGCACTCAACGTACCGTCGACAGCGACGTACGTCAGCGGCTCCAACTCGGACTCTCTGCAGTTTACCTATATTGTGGCGCCTGGCGACGTCGCCGTAGCCCTCGATGTCACTGCGATCGTACTGGCGGCAAACCAACGCATCACGGACCCGACCGGGCTGCCCGTATCGTTGACGCTACCGGCCGGTGGCTCGGGCTCAAGCTTGCGCGATACGGCAGCATTGGGCATTGCCGGTGTGCCCCCAACCGTCGTACGGCTCGTCGGTGTCTCTCCGTCCGGCACGTACGCGGCTGGAGACTCGCTGACCTTTGCCGTCGTATTCTCAGCACCGGTCGTTATCTCTGGTGCTGCTCCCGTTGTCACCCTTAATACTGGCCACGTGGCTAGCTACCGTTCTGGCTCTGGTTCGACTTCGCTCGTGTTTCAATACACTGTGCAGGCGGGCGACAACGGCGTACTGGACGTCGCGGGCACCGGCGCATTCGCCGGCATCGTGCTTGGTCAATCCACGACACCGACGACACCTGCCAACGTCGCAGTCCCGGCTCCTGGTGCAGCGTCCAGCCTCGCGGGGACATCGGCACTGATTGTCATGTCGGTGCCACCCGTCGTCGTCGCCGTCACGTATGTGGATGTGCCGTACCAGAGTCGCGTCGTCTGCACAAGCGGCGACACACTGCAGATCCAAGTTGCCTTCTCCGCGACCGTCGTCGTCGCGCCAGGTGCTGTGCCGACGCTGACGCTGGCGACGCGCGGCGCGACCAACGCCATCGCGACGTATCTTGGCGGCTCGGGATCGCGCTACTTGTTTTTCCGCTATATCGTGCAGCCCACAGATGCTGCGTCCGTGCTCGAGTATGCCGCCTCAAACCGACTGATAGGGTCGATTTACCTTGCGAGTGCGGTGCCAACGGTCTTGGCCAACTTGGCGTTACCGCCGATCGGACGGGGGCGCAGTCTCAGTGACCATGCCGTTGTCACTGTGTGCAACACGTGTCCGTATGTGGTGTCGGTCTCGAGCCCCTCTGCTACGATCGCCAGCGCTGGTCAAGTGCTCACATTCTCAATAACGTTCTCCATACCGGTGTTTGTGCTCTCCGGGCAGTTGCAGCTACGGCTTGCCATGCCACTGGAGCGATATGCCACGTATACCAGTGGCAACGGGTCGACCAGTCTGGAGCTGTCGTACACGGTGCAGACCGGTGACGACGCGTACCCCGTTGAGGTCGTCAACAAATATTCGCTGTTTGGCGCCACCGTCGTGTCGGCGGCGCCACCGTCGCTTGTGGCGTCCCTTCAGCTGCCATTACCCGGTACCGCCAGTAGCTTGAGCGTGCTGACGCCGATTCGAATTGACACGTCGCCACCGACGATCACAAAGGTCTCAACAACGACACCCGATGGCACATACGGACCCGGTCAAGTCATTTCGATCGCGATCACGTACTCGTTCCCAGTCGTCGTGATGGGTACCCCGACGTTGACCTTGGCGCTCACAACGCCCGGTGCGCGATTGGCCCTCTACAGCCCGAGCGCATCGACGTCGACGACGCTGCAGTTTGTGTACACGGTCGCCGTCGGAGACGCTGTCTATCGACTCGACTACATGAGGCTCTGTAGCCAGAGTCTCCTCGTTCAAGAACTGGAAGGGTACGACACCGCGGCGACGGGCCTCGGCTGTCTGCCGTCCGGTTCAGCTCTCGAGCTCAACGGCGGGTACGCGCTTTTAGGATGATTTATAGTTTACTAAATGCTTGCGTTGTAGAGCCATCAAGGCGCAGGCGACGACACCCGTTGTCGACGCATCAACGGTCCTTCCTGCGGTGAACCCGTGGCCCCTCGTGCGCTACGTCGGCGTTGGCAACAACGTTACGTATGCGTCGCCCGGTGTCGGCCCGATTGCGTCGGCTCCGCCACAGAGTCTTTGCACCTACACGGACGAGGGCTCGGAGTTTCTTCTTTTGAGCAATGGGGTGCCCAACCACGCCGTGCCACCGACGGTGCAGCCGACAAACTACCTCTTCGAACTGCCCCGCTTTCCGTCGGTCGGGTTTGCCCGCCGTCGCCCAGTCGGTATCGTCGGTATCTTGGTCAACGGCGTACCAATCAACAACACGGCGCTGGGTGACACTGTCGTCGCCGACGCGTGCGGCGGTGCCGTCGACGCCATGGGACGGTACTCGTACGTCGCAGCGCCCACGTGTCTCGGTTTGACGAATGGTCTCTTGGGATTTGCGTTGGACGGGTTCCCGATCTATGCGATGCCAGTGAGATTCGCCTCGTATCTCGACGAGTGCAGTGGCTACGTCGACCGCGACGGTCTCTACCGCTACTACCTCAACACGACGCTTCTCGTACTGTCAAGGACGTTTCTACCGTGCTACAAAGGTACACCGGTGTCAGCCAACGCGGCCGATACGTACAAGCTGGCAGCCATTGCCGGTGTTGAGGGATTCGCAGCCTCGAGCATCAACCTCAAGCAGCTGCAGGTGATTCCTGCCGACGTCTCGGGGCTCTGGCGCAACCCATCCAACGTCGCTGTCAGCACGACGGCGTCGTTCCTCTACGTGTCGAGCACGGGGATTCCGGACGGGGTGTTTGGACCATTCCCAAATGCATACAACCCGCATACGATCAAGCAAAAAGCGTACACGTTCGTGCTACCGCGGTCGCCGACGTGGAGCAATGTGCCATCGCCGGTGCTACCGGATCGTCCGATCGGTGTCATGCTCAACGGCATCCCCTTTTACAGCTACATGGACAGCAGCGGCAACTCGTTGCGGAACCCAGCCTCCGCCAACTACTTGATTCTGGACGCTTGCAACGGGTACGTCGACGGCGCCGGCGCGTACCGATACTACGCTGCGCCCGACTGCCTCCTCGACGCACTCAACGACGTTGCCGGGACAACGTCACCCGTTATCGGGTATGCGCTAGACGGCTACCCGGTCTACGGGCGGTACGACAGCACGGGCGCCGTACCACTGGATCTGGACGCGTGCAACGGCAAGTGGCACGCAGATGGGCGCTACGGCTACCACGTCACGGACACACCACCGTATACGATCAACTGCTTTCACGGTGTGGTGCCCACCACTACTGGCGCGCCGTTGTACCGCAGTCTCTCCACCTCGAGTGCCATCACCATTTCGTCCGCGGCACCAAGAATACGCGATGCCACAAGCGAGCGCCGCCCTGGTAACAAGTTGTACATAATGCGATTTCGGCTCACTTTTTGCGAATAGGAACGTACGGCGAGGGCGACGCGGTTGATATCCAATTGTTATGGTCGGCGCCGGTCGTTGTCACGGGCGCCCCGACGCTAACGCTCGCGATTTTCAACAACATTACGAGCGCGCCGGCGTCGGCGCAGTATGTTGCCGCCCGTAGCTCGGCGACGACCAGTGTTTTTGTCTACACGGTGGGACCACATGAATTTGCGTCCAGTATTCGCTTGGCGTCTATCAACGCGCTCGTCCTGCCACCGGGCGCCGGCATCTATCGACAAGCGACCGTCCCGACGCTGCCAGCCGAGCTTACCTGCCCCGCTACGGCTCTTGTGCTGGCCGATCGGTAAGCATACTATATTGCGCTAAAGGCTTTCGCTGACACGGCGACGTAGCGTCCAAACGGTGGCGACCGTAGAGCTCAAGGTCCGGGGACTGTACCACTCGGCCGCGAACGCGATCTCTGCCGTCGTCGTACACAACGACATATTTGCGTCGGTGTTTCAGCCGGTGGCGGCGCCGTCGTCAGTGTTTGGCCGCCCCGTGCCACCGATGCCAAGCGTCGTCGAAAAAACAACGGGTCTCGGGGTCGACGTGGCGTTCGTCGATATGGTGTTCGGACCCAACTTGGCGCTGGGAGGCACTGCAACGCAGAGCTCGACGTTTGGTCCGAGCGGTCGCGCCCGGCATGCCATCGACGGCAACCGGTCTCCGTTTCACGCGAGCTTGGGGGCGTCTCGGACGTCCGGTGACGATCCGATGCCGTGGTGGCAGCTACGGTAGTGTCGGCCATTCGTGTGCGTCAGCTGACAAGCCTCACTAGACTTGCGCAGCCCGCGAGCATTGGCACCATCAAGCTCTTTCAAGTAGCGCAAGCGACGTCGCAGCTCGAGGTCCAACTCGTGCAGACGTCAGGGCCGGTCCTTGCCGCCGGCACGTTTCAGCTACTGTTTCAAAGCTGCACGACCAACCCCATCGCCGTCGACGCCGTGCCGAGTCGGGCTGACGAAAGCGTCTCGGCCATGGGCGCGTCGTTGCAAGCTCTTTTAGAGCCCTGCACGGGTGCGATTGCCGTCTCCCGAAGCGCACTCCAGCGACTCAACATGTACACGTGGAGCGTCACCTTCCTCGAGACGCGGGGCGACGTACCGCTGCTGCAGGCCATCGGCATCACGTCTCCAACGCTCTCTGTCGCCATCTCGACGTTGTTTCCCGGCTCGGACAATACATTCTACGCGTACCAAGAGCCGCTGACGCCAGTGTTCGACTTGCTGGTACCGTGCTATGTCATGGTGTTTGACGCTCTCGCCTCCATGACCTTCGAGTCGTACTTGGACGCGCTGGAAAACGCCGTGTGGAGTCAACAAGTGACGTCCGGCGACGATGAAATCTCTCTTGTGCTGCCGCCCGGCGTCCGCGGTCAGTACATCCGCGTGCAGCGCACGGACGACCTTGTCTTGTCGCTGGCCGAGGTCGAAGTGTATGCCGAGTACCAACGGTCGTTCTCAAGGTACAACCAAGGCAGTCCGATCCGAGGTGCTTCGTATGCCAGCTCCAGTGTTCAGGCCTGGGCACCTGAGGTGTCGTTTGCATACGCCTTTGGCGGCATCTCGAGCGTTGGCGCGTGGACGCTTCGTCTCACCGACCACGCCCCGTACGACCGTCACACTCGAAACCTCTTGGTGCTCACAGCGCTCTCTGTGTAGAACGTCGACCGTTGACGTCGGAGGCGTCTCGGATTGGCAACTGATTATCACCAACAGCGCTGGCACGTCGGTGACCTACTACATGGACGTCACCGCGCGTCTCTTGACGCTACCCAAGTACGGACAAGTGCTACTGGACATTTCGCAGACCGAGGTCGACTACCTCGACACCGATGGCAACAACTACCTCGACACGACCGAGGCGACAACGTACTTGGTGAATTACTGGCCGCAGTACGCACTCCTTGATGCGTTTCAGCGCTACCGCGTTCTCGCAGAGCTCCTCGAGACGTATGCGTCAACAGGCTGCGTGCCCGTGTGGGGCGAGCTGGGTCAGCAGCGAACGCGCCCGCGTGTGTGCGCCACCTGCGTTGTGCCGTCGACGTACTTGGAGCTCTACACGGCGGCCTCCCGCGCGACAGCCAACACGTTTGTGCTCAAAGGGCGCCACATCCAGTACGCGCCGCAGAGTGCTGCGTTCGTCGGCCTCGACGCGCTCTATTTCAGCATCTCGCTCGAGAACCAGGAGAGCGCCGACCCCGGGCTCGTGCGCATCGAAACGTTGCCGTGTCGCGAGGCGACGTGTGCCATGGACGTTCACGACGCCACGAGCCCATACCAGGCACTGTCGAGTACGCTCGTCAACTACTAGCGTGCCACGTCATGAGTTGGCTCTTTGTAAAGGCAATCTCGTCTTGTCCTGTTGGCTACTTAAGCGTCAGAGGAGCTGGCAGGCATCCAGCGGCGACGACGACGCGACACAGCCACCGCGCCGCCTGTCTCCATGTCCCGAGATACCGTGTCACTTGACTGCTATAATATCGAAATCGATATCGGTTCAGTGACATGTCGTTTCAGCAGAGCTTCTATACCTTGAGAAGGTCCAGTAACAATCGCCCGGCCGTCATGGACCACGCGACCAAGATCGCGGGGCCGTCCATTGACGTGCATGGCGTCACGGACCCGGGGAACCCGGCGAAAGAGAACCAGGATACGTTCTTCACACTGCGCCACCGAGACCACGTGGTTCTCGCGGTCTTCGACGGCCACGGCTCAGCCTGCGGACTGCTCGCGTCCTCGACTGCACGGGACTTTTTCCGCGAAAAGCTCAGCCTTCAAGAGACGTACGTGGAGCTCGAGGCGCAGCCGGAGCGCACGCTACGCCGCCTTTTCCACGACTGCCACCTCGCCATCAAGGCGGTGCGTCTCCTCCGCCTTGTTGAGAGCCCAAAGATTCGTGTAGGCGCTGCGCCAGCGCTACGAAGACGCCAACAACAACGTACAGGAGCGCAAAGGCGGCTTCCTCGTCATCAAGCCGACGCTGCTGCAACGGTCCGTGCTTGTCCAAGGCGGTACGACGGCGTCGATCGTCATCATTCTTCACGGGACACGGCTGCTGTGCGCCAACGTCGGTGACTCGGCGGTGCTCCTCGCGTCCGGGTCGGCCGTCGTCTCCGACACGTCGTGGAAGGCGCTCTCGTCAATGCTGCGAGTACACTGCGCCCATGGCCCGCGCTGTTCGCAGCCCCCGGATATGAACGCCGAGCAAGTCAAACCACCGCTGCTCCTCTTGCTGACGGGCGAGCACTCGCCGGAAGCCAAGTCCGAGTTTGAAACAGTAGCCAGGCAACGCCACGCGCCGCACGCGCCGTTGACGCCCGAGCTCCTCTTCTTGTACGACAGCATCGTGCCAGGCGTCTCGTCGAATGGGAGGCGACTCACGCTGCGTGAGAAGCACGCGCTGCTAGAACGCCACCCGGTGTTTTGCGTCCGCAACAACCGCGAGATTGCGAGCGCTGGCGAAGGCAGCTACTACAAGAACGTGCGGCAGGAGTGGGCGTCGCTCTGCTGCACACCGGGGAAGGCCAAGTACCACGAGTCGCTCGCCTTCACGCGGTCGCTCGGCGACTTCTACATGCACCACTACGGCATCACGCACGAACCCGACATCTTTGAGGTCGCGCTCGATAAGCTCGACCATGGCGACCACCCGCCAACGTTCTCGCTCCTGCTGGCGAGCGACGGCATCTGGGACAGCTGGCAGTACGGCGAGGCGGCGGCGTTCGTGGTCGACGCCCTCGGTACTGGCAACGCTGAGGCGGCTGCCACGTCGCTCTTATCCCGCAACAAGCAAATCGCTCGGGACGTTTTCGGGTCCCAGGTCGATAATATGACAGCGATCGTGGCGTCGATCCGATACCACGCTGAGAACCAGTAGGCGGTAACCATATATTCCACACTGTTTAACCGTTCTAGTCCAAATTGACGTCGTCGTCGTCGACGTCGAGGACGGGCGGGTGGCTGCGCGCGACGGCGGTCGTCGGCTCGATTGGCTTGGTCTCGGTGATGGCCGTCACGACCAGCTACGCGCGATAAGAGACCTTTGATTTCACGCTAAACAGCGTACGGTGTGGTCGCGCCCACAGGCGACGGACGCCACCTTGACCGAGTGCAGCGCGTCGACAAGCCGCGGCGTGACCTCGTCAATGTCCTGGCCGTGGCCGAGCTTGCCGTGGGCACCGTGCCCCCACGTGTAGAGGTCACCCGTGTCTGCGACCACCAGCAATGAGGCAAGACAACGTGCAGGACGACAGTACCCGAGACGGCGGCGGCGTGGGACGCTCCGCACGAGAGGTCGACGATTCGCGTATCGACGAGCGCTTCGACCCACTCGGGCGACTCGACGTACGGGAACGCCGAGTCGGTGCCGGGGTCGTAGTTGCTGCCAAAGATGACATCATTGTCCGTGTCGCCCTAGACCATGAGTCGTTCAAGGTCTTGAAGTGCACGGCGCGTACGAGGCCGAGCACGCCGTGGTCGCCGGCGCCCCACGCGTACACGTCCCCGAACGACGAGATGCCGATCTCGGCAAACGTGTCTTGGATGCGACGCTTGTACGTCTCCTTGATGCGTACACTGGCCTAGTCGAGGTATCACAACCGTCAAATGTCGGCGCTTCCGGACCTCGTGCGACACCATGAGCACTGGAATCGTCATCTTCTTGGCTTGCGACAGCGGGTCGCCGTAGCCCGCGTCAAAGATGTGGTGCGTGAGCTACGCGCGGTCTAGAAGATCGTATCAAGCGCTCGCAAACGGTACTTTTTTCGGTGTGCCGTCCAGAGGGTTTTGGCCAATGACGACGGCGACGGCGCCGAGGCTTTGGATCTGAACAATCTAGTTCTTGGAGTGCAAACACGGTACTAGAAGAAGGGAGGATGCAACCTGCTCCGAGAGCTTGTCTTCGTGCGACGCGAGGTGGGCGAGCACGGGTCGCTTGGTCTCGTTGAGAAAGCCAAGCAGCCGCTGGCTTGACGACGCGTTGAGCATGACGCTCGGGATCCCAAACGCATAATTTTCGAGCTCCGTCGTCGCGAGCGGAAACGCTTCGGCCATGAACGTGAACGCGATCGCCACGGCCGCCGCCCCCGCCTCTTGCGCGTCCTTGACTTTGGCCACCAGCGCTTGCATAAGGCGCTCGATGACCATGCCGACGTCATCGTCCGCCGACTCCATTGGCAAATCACTTTCTTCAAAGTGCAGCACAACGAGCTTTCCCTACAGACACAGTACATCCATGACGCCATGCGTTTTGTATCAAGTTGATACTGGAATTTCGTCCGGGCGGACGTAGTGCGAGAGCGATGCGAGCTTTTGGGGGGTAAAGAAGAGGGGGTACTGGACACCCTTGCTGTCGACGCTGGGGCCAAACATCGACGGCACGACGGGCAGTGAGAACGCGTCGTTGCCGTCGATCGTGAGCCACACGCCCGAGGCCTTACCGCGGTCCACGTACACCATCTAGACCCGTCGATATGACCGGGCTTTAGCCAGCAGAGCTTGTACCTTTTTCGCGTACTCTTCCTTGTGGATGTACGAGGCCGATGTCTTGACGACGCCGGGTGCGATGAGCGGCGCGCTGAGTCCGGTGCAAATCTCGACGGGCGGCGCACCAAAGGCAGCGGCGACCGCGTACATGGCGTCGGTCTCGGGCAGCTTGAGGTAGACGCAGCCCGTGATCGCCATGGCGTACTCGCTCCCGACGCGGATGCTCTCGACGTACAGCGTGCTCAGCACGGGTGAAAGGCGCGGGGAGAAGACGCTCTCGGTCGCCCTACGAAACCCGGCACCCCACTCGTACACGTTGCGGTGGCTGCGGCCGACGGCGTAGACGCGGTTGCCGCCGACGCCGATCGCACCGATGGGCTCGGTCAAGTTGATGTACGTCGGCGAGTGCATGTACGTGTAGTTGCTGTGGACGATGTGTTCGTCTAAAAACCCGACACGGAACTCGTCGGCGTAGCCGAGGCCGAGCTGCCCGTCCGAGCCCTCGCCCCAGGTGTACACGCAGCCGTCGGCAGCCAGCGCCACGCTAAAGTAGTAGCCGCACGCTATCGAGACAATCTGCACGTCGTCAAAGAGGCTCTTGTCGAGCTTGAGCGGAAGGTCGATCACCGGGTAGAGTCGGCTCGTGTGCGGGTCAAACTCGCGCTGGTAGAGTTCGTTCTCGGCGTTGTGCGGATCGCCGTGGCCGAGCTGCCCGAATTCGCCAGCGCCCCATGTGTACACGACGCCGTCGTCGGAGAGAGCCATCGAGTGTCGGGCGCCGAGCGCCATATGGACGATAGCGACATCGGTGAGATCATCAACGCGCCGGGGACAGGCGCGCACTGCGGCCGCCGGTTTTTCCAACGAGCCAAACGCCCCCGGGGGGCACGCCCCCCACGTGTACGCAGCGCCCGAGGAGGTCACAGCGCTCGCGTGCACGCGGCTGGTTGCGACGCTCACGACCCGCTGGTCATTGTGCTTGAAGTAGAGTACGAGACGTGGCTGCTTGAGTTGCGAAGCCAGCTCGAGGTGCTGGTGTCCGAGAAGCCCGTGGTTGTTGGCGCCAAAGCTGTAGATGGCGCCGCTCGATGCGTTGCGCTCGACTTTTGACCGGCGCAGTCCTTCTTGGCGCTTCTTGCGGTGCAAAATAGCGTCTTGGATCTTCTGCGCCTAATTCCGCGTACTTGATATTCTGATACTGCGACGCTAGTCGTGGTGTACCGCCGTGTCGAGCTGGGCGTCAAGCTGGAGGCGCCGCTGGAGCTTGCGGTCAAGAACGGCGGACCGTGCAAGCATGCCTCGAACGACGCGCTGGATGGTACTGGCGGCGTCCTCGGAGTTGTACTTGTCTCGTGGCACATAACACCGGAGGAGGTTAGTGATCTTGGGCGTCCGACGCACCCACTGCACGAACGCCTCTTTTCGGAGGTCGTCCGTCGGGTCCAAGCCGCAGTCTCTAAAGAGGTGTTAGACGCCTCTACTAGCATGCATGAAGCAACTCAAAGCAGAGAGTTGCGAGCGCTTCGATCTGGGACATGGGGCAGAGGCGGAGCAGGTGCGGGCCGAGGCCCCGCGTGACCTTGGTGAGGCCGCGCACCGACGACTTGAGCAAGATGAGAAGCTCGTCGCGCGTGACAGCGCCCGAGTTGTTGAAGTCGAACAAATCGAAAACGAACGCGACCTTTTCGAGAAGCTTCCCAAAGCTGCCCGTGATGGCGAGGGCCGTGATGAACTCGAGGCCGTTGACGACGCTGCTGCTCGGATTGTTCTTGAGCGCGTCAAACCAGCGCGTCACGAGCGGCGCAAAGAGGTCGTTGTGGTGCAGCTGCAGCATCTCCCGAAAGTGCGCCGGCGTGAGGCAAAAGTTGAACGAAATGCGCCGCAGCTGCAGCGAGAGCACCTCGATCTCGGCCTTGCCCCTACCACATCTGGATACGCATCACGTCTAGATCTGCTCGTGCGCACCAGGCTTTGGTGAGAATCTCAAAGTCTTGGAGCACGGTCGTGTCGCGCTCGCGGTAGTGCACCTGGGAAAACTTGCCGCCCATGCTTCGACGGGACTGTAAATTATTGAGTCGAAGGACACGTCGGTCTAGTTGTTCCACCGACGTTTCGGCCACCGACCTCTGTGCACTAACCCAAGGTGTCTCTAGTCGTTGCAGCAACTAAGTGCTGATGGCAGGAATCGCAACATGCAGTGGCAACAGCAGCTACCGGTTGAAGCATGTCGACGCTGTCGCTGGTTGAAGTGGCCAAGATCGCCTGCCAAGATATGGACTCCCTAAGTACGATGCCGCGTAAGTGCGCTCTGTAAAGGTCGGATCGCATCGCACTTGATCGGAGCGCTGCCAAACGAGGGGCCGAGAATCTGGTGACCTCTGGAAATGCATGTCTCGGATATATCGAGTATTCGCAGGATTCGTCCCGCTCGCACAATTGAAGAGGAGCATCCAAGAAGAGGACCATGGCTTCGAGGTAGTCCATGCATGGCAGGCCGATGGATGCTCACGAGGGCGTAGATACGACCGCGCGATCACCGTCTTCTCGCCGGATGGGCACCTCTTCCAGGTCGAGTACGCCATGGAGGCCGTCAAGAAGGGCGCGATCGTCGTCGGCGTGCGCGGCGCGGACGTGGTCGTCTTGGCCGTCGAGCGCAAGGAGACCGCCAAGCTCCAGGACCCGCGCACGGTGCGCAAGATCTGCAAAGTGGATGACCACATTACGCTGGCCTTTGCCGGCCTCACGGCCGACGCGCGCGTGCTGATCAACAAGGCGCGCCTCGAGTGCCAGAGCTACCGCTTGACGGTCGAAGACGCGCCGTCTGTCGAGTACGTCGCACGCTACATTGCCAAGGTCCAGCAACGCTACACACAGCGCGGTGGTGTCCGCCCGTTTGGCATTTCGATGCTCATCGCGGGCTGCGACACGAAGGGCGTGCCCCAGCTCTACCAGACGGACCCGTCGGGCACCTTCACGGCGTGGAAGGCCAACGCCACGGGCCGCAACGAAAAGTCCACGCGCGAATTCCTCGAGAAGAACTACGCGCAGGACATGAACGAAGAGGGCGCGATCCGCTTGGCCATCAAGGCGCTTCTCGAAGTCGTCGAGGCGGGTAGCAAGAACATTGAAGTCGCAGTCGTCCGCCAGGGTGGTGTCGTCTCGGTACGTGCTCGATCCATTCCATCATTATGGCCTCGATGACTCACGCCATTTCTTCTGTATTGCAGACGGTCGAAGATGCCACGGTCGAGATCGTGTGTGCGTCGATCGAGAAGGAGAAGGAGGACGCACGCCTCGGTGCCGAGAGCAAGTCGTCCTCATAAGCGCGTTGCAAGGTGAAGGTCGCGGACGACAACTCGCCAGCGGCTTGCATCATGCAGCGATCGTTTCTGTAATGGATCGTAATGAAGACACCTTTGGCATGATCCTTTCGGCCCTCGCCGAGTCCATCATGCGCTAGCACTTGCGCCTTGCAGTTGTCCATCATGCACGTACCGCAGCGCTCGGCCAAAGCCATGGCAGTACCGCCAAGGTCGCGTCTGCCTTGTCGCCGTTCCAGCATGCTCTTCCATTGCCGACGTCATGCACGTCGCGCCAAGGCTACGGCAGCCACAAGGATCGTGCTGATCATGCTGCTGCGTCTTGCATGCGCTATCCTCCAAGCAGTCGGTGACGTCGCGCCAGCCATGCTGCGTCCTGCCATCGATCGACTCGTTGGATCGTGGCCTGCGGCGGATACGCGATCCTTCTTTCCCAATAACCTGTGAAACTGAATACATTAAATCAAATGCTGGAGAAGACGCCTGCCACGCGGTACCACGTCATCGCTTTTGACTCGGGCCTCGTAATGCAGGCGCGGCAATTTTCGACATTGCATACAAACATCAAGAGAAGAGGGCCAAAATGGATTTAATTTCGATATCGAGTTTCAAAGGTTATCTGCGGCTCCCGCTTGTTTGTGGCTGGCAAAGTGGGAATCCTCTCGTGACCAAGATGGCGAAACCCGTGACGAAGGCCGCGCCCTCCGTGGCGGCCGAGGCCAAGGGTGACGACCCCGCCTTCGCGACGATCTCGGGCTCGGTCATGGACCAGAGCCAAGTCATCTTCGGCGTGCCGGTCTCGTCGCCGCCGGGCTACGACATTGAGGACGACAGCTCGACGCTCGCGCCGGTGCTCAAGTATGGCCTCTTGGCCGCGATCTGCCTCATGTCCTTCTCGATCCGCCTCTTCTCCATCGTGCGCTACGAAAGCGTGATCCACGAGTTTGACCCGTACTTCAACTTTCGCACAACCAAGTACTTGGCGTCCGAGGGCTTCCTCGAGTTCCTCGACTGGTTTGACGACCGCGCGTGGTACCCGCTGGGCCGTATCATTGGTGGCACCATCTACCCGGGTCTGATGTACACGGCGGCCCTCGTCTACTGGGTGCTCAACTGGCTCAACATCTCGATCAACGTGCGCAACACGTGCGTCTTCTTGGCGCCGATGTTTGCTGCCAACACGGCGATCGCCTCGTACATGCTGACGAAAGAAGTGACGAAGCGCACGAGCGCGGGCTTGCTCGCGGCTGCGTTTGCTGGCGTCGTGCCCTCGTACATCTCGCGCTCGGTCGGTGGCTCGTACGACAATGAAGGCGTCGCGATCTTTGCGCTCATCTTTGTCTTCTACCTCTGGATCAAGGCCGTGAACACGGGCTCGATGTTCTGGGCCGCGGCCTGCTCGCTCGCGTACTTTTACATGGTCGCTGCGTGGGGCGGCTACGTCTTCATCATCAACATGATCCCGATCTACGTGCTCGTGATGATCTTTGCCGGCCGGTACACGCCGCGCCTGTACATTGCCTACTCAACGTTCTACGCGCTCGGGTCGCTCATGGCCATGCAAGTGCCATTTGTCGGCTTCAATGTGCTCAAGCAGGCCGAATGCGCCGGCTCGCACGGTGTCTTCCTCCTCCTCCAAGGTATGCCTGTCTCTTCTCTGCGTGTCTCCTAATGTGGTCTAGTCTACTGCTTTGTCAACTGGCTCCGCGGCTTCATCTCGGCCGGTGCGTTCCGCCGTCTCGTTGTGGTCGGCGCCGCGACGCTCGTGGCCGGCGTCGCGGTCGCGCTCGTCTTGCTGCAGCTCATGGGCAAGGTGCAGTGGACGGGCCGGTCGCTCACGCTTCTCGATCCGACGTACGCGTCCAAGTACATTCCGATCATCGCGTCCGTCTCGGAGCACCAGCCGACGACGTGGACGTCGTACTTTTTCGATCTGCACATTCTGGTGCCCTTCGCGCCGGTGGGTCTCTACTTCATGTACAAGAACCTCACGGACGGCGGCATCTTCGTCATCCTCTACGGCACGGTCGCCTGGTACTTTGCCGGCGTCATGGTGCGTCTCATGCTCACGCTCGCGCCGATCGCGTGCATCCTCGCGGCCGTCGGGATCTCGGCCACCTTGCGCAAGTTTATGGGCTTCCTCCACCGGTCCTTCTCGGGCACGACGACGCCGCTCAAGAACGGCGTCCAGGAGGTCCACAGCGGCTTTGCGCTCATCGTGGTCATGGTGCTCACGGCCTTGCTCTTGAGCTACCAGTTCCACGCTGCGTACGTGTCGTCGATGGCCTACTCGTCGCCGTCGATCGTGATTGAGGCCGGCCGCACGCAGAGCGGTGAGCGCGTCGTGTTTGACGACTACCGCGAGGCGTACTTTTGGCTGCGCCAGAACACGGCGGCCGACGCCCGCATCCTCTCGTGGTGGGACTACGGCTACCAGATGTCGGGCATGGCCAACCGGACGGTCATTGTCGACAACAACACGTGGAACAACACGCACATTGCGACCGTCGGTCGCGCGCTCGCGTCGACGGAAGAGGGCGCGTACCCGATCCTGCAGTCGCTCGACGTCGACTACGTGCTCGTCATCTTTGGCGGTCTCACGGGTTACAGCTCGGACGACATCAACAAGTTTCTCTGGCCCGTGCGCATCGGGTCGGGCGTCTTCCCCAACGACATGCCGGCCGAGCGCGACTTTTACTCGGCGTCTGGCAACTTTGACGTTGGCCCCGGCGGCTCCAAGATTTTGCACAACTGCCTCGCGTACAAGCTGTGCTACTACCGCTTTGGCGAGATGCGCACCGACTACCAGCACCCACCGGGGTTTGACCGCGCGCGCAACACGGAGGTCGGCGTCAAGAACATCAAGCTCACGCACATGGAGGAGGCGTTCACGTCCGAGCACTGGATCGTGCGCATCTTCAAGGTCAAGAAGCAGCCCAACGTGCAGCCGACCACCGAGGAGATGAAGCGCAAGCTGCGCGACGCGGCGTCCCAGACGGCGTCGATCGACACGGAGAAGACGCGCTTTGTGGGCTGCGTCACGGGCGAGGACATGCTCGGAGCCGACAAGATCTACTCTGGCGGCGCGACGGGCGCCAACTACAACCTTGCGCTGCACCACGCCAAGGCGCACGGGAAGCGGTACTTCGCGCTCTCGCGCGTCGGCGGCGAAGGCCACGTGTTTGCCTTCGACAAGCTCGCGTTGGCCGAGAAGGACTTTGACGGCAACGGCGCCGGCTGCGAGCGCCCGTGCATGGACTCGCAGGCGCACTTCTGCGGCTGCGCCGACTCTGGCTGCTCGGACGCGCTCGCGCAACCGGGCAAGGGCCAGGAGCACAACCGCCGATGGGCCATCTACGAGCGCGAAGAGGCGTAGACACTGTGCTTTTTCCAACACGAAGCTTTCTTTTGTGCAAGACACGAGCAGTACGACAATTACATTACTCGACAGGGCGGGCAGCTGGCAGCTGGTGGCGGTTGGACTTGACGCTACGCTTGGGTCGCAGCGTCGCTTCGGCCGTCGCGAGGCGCTCCGACTGGTTTCCTGTGGCCGGTGTGGGGTGGCGTCGGGCGCGCGCGGTAGTGGCCGACCTCGTGTAGGCGGGCGAGTCGGGTTTTGCAAAGCACGTCTTGGAGAGAAGCGAGAAGACGAGGAGCATTTGATGCAGCGCAAGAGCGAGGACGACGACGAGCACAATGCCGACGACGCCGTAGCCGACGCCATCGCCCGCAGCCAGTGCGACCCAGAGAAGGCCAAGACACCCAACGTAGATGAGCTCCAAGCCCATCGTCACGTGGTAGACCACCAAGTGCACGAACGGCTGCAGCCAGTACGTCAGACCCACGTACGCAAGGTGGAGCAGCAAGAGCACAGGTACGACGTACGTCGAGGCAACGCCACCAACGAGGCCGCCTTGCACCAACAAGAGCGCGAGGCTCAAGACAGGGAAGCACCGGCTCCGGTATTTGACTTGGGCGTACGACCACCAAAGACTCTCGGAGCTGCCAAATGCTGCGTACTTGTACGCGTCTTCCATGAAGAGGTAGGCAAATGCACCGACGAGGCCAAACACAAAGGCAAAGAGCGTCACGCAGGCGAGAACGCCCGAGGTGTGCGGCCCGTCGGGCGTGTAGGCGTCCTGCCGCACCTCGTACGCCGCCATGAGCGCCACTGGGAACGTCGCCACGGAGAAGAGGAAGAAGCCGAGCGCAAAGCAGCGCGACGCCATGGTCTTCATGTCGCCGACGCTGCGCGGTGGTGAGAAGAAGCGAGCGCACCCGAGGCAGAGCAGCCCGAGAGAGGCGCAGACGGACGTGACGACGACGGTCGCCAGCCACGTGTTGTAAAAGAGGTGGCGCTCGTTGAGGTTGGCGCGGTAGGCAAAGAACTCGGGGCCCGACCCCGTCAACGATTCGTCGAGCCGTCGGGTCGTTGTTGTCGGTGCCGACGCGTGGGGCAGCTGGAAGAGGACCCACGTGAGGCCGTCCGTGAAGCCGAGCAAGGACGACGGCACCGACGACGTTCCGAGGTTGAGAAGCGAGCACGTCGCGATCTGCTGAAGAAAGGCCAGCGCCATGGGCATGATCACAGGAGCTGCCGGGAGCGTCCACCAGCCAAAGTGGAACGCACCGAGCGCGATGAGACCTGGAATCGCGAGCGCATTGGCGACAACGCGAAATATATTTGTCGACGACGACGACGCAGCGAGCTTCTGCGACGGCCAATTGCTCCGGTTGCTTGGTCGACGGGCAGGCAAAGCAGTCGGCTGATCACCAAGGTCCTCCTGGAGGGAAGGCGTCACAGGCGATGGCGTGCTCGACGGGGCTTGCGACGGCGCGTCAGAAGGCGGTGCCGGAGCTGTGGATTCTATTGTATGCAATGGCTCTGGAGTCGCCGGTATTTGCGTCGTTGGTCCCGGTGTTGGCAGCTCTGGCGTCGTTGGCTTTGGCGTCGTCGGTACAGGCGTCGTTGGCTCTGGCGTCGTTGGCTCAGGCGTCGTTGGTACAGGCGTCGTTGGCTCTGGCGTCGTCGGTACAGGCGTCGTTGGTACAGGCGTCGTTGGCTCTGGCGTCGTCACGTTTGATGTCGTTGGCTCTGGCGTCGTCACGTTTGATGTCGTTGGCTCTGGCGTCGTCGGTACAGGCGTCGTTGGCTCTGGCGTCGTTGGCTTTGGTGTCGTTGGCTCTGGTGTCGTTGGCTCTGGCGTCGTTGGCTCTGGCGTCGTTGGCTTTGGTGTCGTTGGCTCTGGCGTCGTTGGCTCTGGTGTCGTCGGTACAGGCGTCGTTGGCTCTGGCGTCGTCGGTACAGGCGTCGTCGGTACAGGCGTCGTTGGCTCTGGTGTCGTTGGCTCTGGCGTCGTTGGCTCTGGCGTCGTTGGCTCTGTCGTCGTCACGTTTGGTGTCGTCGGTATCGGGCTTGTCATTGACGGCGTGGGGCTCGGCAGCGTGATCGTCGGCGTCGTTGGTTGGGCGGGTATTGTTGTGTTGGGCGAGCTACTGGTGACATTCGGTGTCACTTGCAGCGGCGTCGCCAGCGTTGCCAGGAGCAGCGCTGCGCCGACAAGCGTCCGCTGCATCGCGTAAGTGAAGGCAGGCCTCCAAGTTGGTTGTCTCAACCGCAGAAAGGCCGTCACATCCTCGCACAACGCGCCGACGGGCGTGTGTCACAATGTGTTTCCACGTCGCTGATTGGCCCACCACCTGGTCGGCGCTGGCTCTGCAGTCCATCGTTCCCGCCACGACTACGAGCTGCCCCCGCAGTATACATCGCAGCAATAGCTCAATCACTGGTCGCTGCAAGTAGTCTGGATCTGGCGCCTGCCCTTTCCGAGCTCTTCTAGCGACCGCTGCTCCGAATCTGGTTGGCGGCGTAGTGTCGTTGGCAGATCTTCCTTTGAGGGGCTGCAATGGCTTCCAAGAGGAGGCGAAGACCACCAACGTTGGGCCTGCTCGCATCCATTGACATCTTGACGTCTTCCGACTGCCATGCGCTGTCAGCATACCGGTAACGTTACCCGAAGAGCTCCGTGCAAGTATCAACGGCCAGCGCCAGGCTCCACGTGAGCTCTCACACTAGCGGTATCTATATTGGAGAGGTGTCATGTACTATTTGGCGGGCGGTCGCTGCATACGTGGCATCCTCACAGGGGCAAGGAAGTGGACCTGCGACCCCACTGTTTCGGTAGGACCCCCCATATCCGTTTCGTGAGGGCCCACCCCTCCTGCCGTAGAAAAAGGCTGGCCACTTTGTTTTGTCTGGGCCAAAGATGTACCCCCGCGCCCCGACGGCGTACGCGACGCAGGCCGACAAGTGGAAGCGCAACGGCAAGGAGTCCTCATGGCGGTCGTCCGCGTCGCCCGCGCCGGCGTCGCCCGCGGTCTCGGAGCTCGTCCTCGTCTCGGAGCTTTGCTCGGCGGCCGGCCAAAGCTCATTCCCGCCCAAGGAGGTCCTCAACACTTTTGTCCGCGTCTTGCCGTCGCTCGACCGCCAATACACGTGCGAGCTCCTCGAGCAGAAGCTTGGCGACTCGCTCTGGCAGGTCATCGCCCGGGCGCTTCTCGTGCTCGACGCGGCGTTTGGCACTGCGCACGCCGACGACTTCCTCGTCTTCTTTGCGTGCAAGCTCCAACTCATCGCAGGCCTCACGCAGCACCCCAAGCAAACGGTCAAGTCGCGCGCAGAGAAGGTGTTGACGACGCTCAACAACTTTGAGCCCCCGCCAGCACCTGCCCCCGTCGCGCAATACCAAGCACCGTCCCCGGTCCGCAGCCATTATGGGTATCACGAAGATCTACTGCGATCTCCGACGGCCCAGCCCAAGGGCTTCTTTGGCGAATCGCTCCTGAGTCCGCCGCGATATGCAGCCCCGACGCTAGCGACGCCGTCCCCGGCCCGGCCCCAGCGCCACACGCAGCCACCGTCGGCCTTTGCCTTCATGTCATCGCCCGAGCCGACGCAGGAGGACCCGCATCACTACAGCCAGCAGCAGTATCATCCGCGACCGCAGCAATACCAACAGCAGCAACAGACGCCACCCCCCGCGTCGGTCTTTAACTTTCTCAACGTTCCGGTGCAAGCGTCGCCGGCGCCCACCACCGCCCCGTCCGGTTTTTCGTTCATGTCGTCACCCTTGGCGGCGCCCGTGGCCTCGCCATCTCCGCCTGCGCCGATCACGTCGTCGTCGTTTTCATTCCTGACGCAGCCAACGCCGTCGCAACCGCCGTCGGACGGACAGGGGTTCTCGTTCATGACGCTCAACACGCCGCCGCAGGCTCCTGTCGCGTCCTACGACGTCTTTTCGCAGCCGCCCGTGCTCGCGATCGGCGCACCGCCGGCCAAAACAGTACCACCCCCTATCCCTTGCGGCGACTCGAGTCTAAAGGCGCTTAGGTATCGGCCGGTGACCACATCCACGACGCCTTTGAAGGTCTCGGGAGCGAGCCTGACGAGAATGCGCCCGAAGAAGATCTTTTATCTGGCTTTTTGGCGCCGAGAGACCGACGGGCAAGTGCCCCCGAGCCGGTCGACTTTGCCAAGCTCAAGCTCGCTGGCGCGGCGCGCGAAGTCGTCTTGGAGATTGATATCCCTGCCGGTCCCATGGGCATCATCCTCGACAAGAGCATTCCAAGCATGGGCGTCATCGAGCGCTTTGTGCCGCTGCCGACGGGCGAGAAGGGCTACATCGAGATGCACCCGGCCATCACGCCCGGGTGCGCGCTCGTCAGCGTCAACTTCACCAACGTCGAGCACGCGTCTCTGGACGACCTCGGCCCGATCCTCGCGGCCGCCTCGGGGTTCAACCGGGTGCTCAAATTCAAAAAGTTCATTGTCGGCGGCCGCGTCATGCACCCGCTGCACCTCAACGTCCCGTACATCCCGCCGTCGGGAGCGGCCAGTGAGGACGGCACCGACGACGCGCAGCCGCCGGCGACAGAGGAATCGCAGCGGCCATCGATCGGGTTTGCGTCGCCTGTGACGCGGCCGTCGGCGCCGCCGGTCGGCTTCATGTCGCCCGCACCGACAGCGTCAATCTCATCAGCGTCCGGTTTCGATTTTCTCTTGTCGTCGCCGGCACCGCCATCGTCGCCGCCCAAGCCCGTCTCGGCGTTCAACTTCATGTCGCAGCCGAGTCAAGTGCACTACGGGCATGGGCTCGGTGCTGCGACGTCGTCGCTCTTCCCGAGCGTGAACTCGCCCGCCAAGCAAGCGCTTGTGGTCTCGCCGCGACACCGAGCGTCGCCGGCTCGCGCAGCCTCGGCGTTCGCGTTCATGTCGCCGTCATCGCCGCCGCAGGTCGACGCAATGGCCGCGACCTTTGGCCAGCTCGAGATCCGAGGATCTCAGGCGCCGCCGTCGTCGGCCTTTGGCTTTATGCAGCCGTCGCATGCAACGCCGCCGCGCCCGCTTGTCCAGTCGCCGCCGCGAGCCATGTCGGCGTTTGACTTTCTCGAGAGTTCGCCGCCGCGTCGAGGCAGCACCGACGACGAGGCGCCCCGCCCGACGTCGGCGTTTTCGTTCATTGCGTGAACGGTTTCGATAGACTTGGTGCGAGTAATACAGAGTGTTCATGCACGTCGTCGACCGCTGGCAAAGTCGGACACTGTCGTCGCGTTGTGGGTTCGCGCGTGTCAGCCGCATCTGGCCCACGGTGGTCAACCAGCACCCAAGTCGGCGCTTTGGGTGCGAGCCATCGACGCGCCATCTCCGAAGCAGCGTGTTGCAGCGTCTGTCGACGACGCAGTTGCCACGGCCAACGCCGCTGCCACGTGGGGATCGGCAATCATTACACTATTTTTAGCTTCAATGACACATACAAATGGTGTAATATCGGAATAGTGTATTTTTCCCGCGTGCCATCGATTTCGAATTCGAGCACCTTCGATCGCATGTCGTCGTCGCCGCCTGCCTGCCCCGTGGACCATGGCGCGCCGGCCACCGGCGGCTGCCCCGTCGACCACAGCGCGCCGACCACCGGTGGCTGCCCGGTCGACCACAGCAAGATGGGCGGGCCGAGCATGGCCGGCCTCAACACGCTCAACTTCATGGAGCCGGCGGATCAATCGGTCGCCAAGGGCCAGAGCGTTCCGCTGAGCACGCAGCGCGTGGCATCGACGATTCCGATGGGCTCATACGTGCCGGCGCACCAGAAGGAAGGCCAGGATACGTGGCAGTACCCTTCCGAGCAGCAGTACTTTAACGCGATGAAGCGCAAGGGCTGGGACCCGCAGGAGCGTGACATGAAGGTCATTGTGAGCATCCACAACACCATCAACGAGAAAGGCTGGGCCGAAGTCGTCGAGACGGAGAAGACGCTGCACGGCGATGCGTACACGCACGGCGACCCAAAGCTCGTGCGCTTCATGGGCCGTCCCAAGGACTTTACGCCGAAAGCGCGCCTCCTCAACCTCTTTGGCATGGCCAACCTCCCGTTCGACCGCCACGACTGGATTATCGACCGCAACGGCGAAGAAGTCCGGTACGTCATCGACTTTTACACGGGCCACCCGACGCCCGGGAAGCCGATCTCGGTGTACATGGACGTCCGCCCGGCGCTGGACAACATTGGCAACGCCGTCGACCGCCTCCGCATGCAATTCCACAAGAACGTGCTCCCGCTGCTGCCGTTCCGCGGTGCCTTCCTCAACAGCCCGCCGTCCAAGCCTGAGCCGAGTGCGGACTCGAGTACCAAGTAAATTCATTGTTTTGCTTTTCACATCAAATTGTTTGAACCGATTCCTTGGCCTCTCCCCTCATTTGAGGCTACAATGCGGTTCCACGGGAATTATCTAACGAGAGGTAATAATAAGGGGCTTGCGATCGCAGTAAAACTCAGCGAGGGACCCTTGACGCACTGCAAGCTTGGCTTCGACACAATAATGCTGATATTCAAGAACGCATTTCTCTGGTTGTAGACTGCTTCCGATGACGCGACGTGGCATTTCGAGCTCCCCAAGACATGGGCTATCGGCATGCCAAGTATGAGCGATTTCGTTTTCAAGTGCCATCGGAGGATCAAACGCTCTGTGATCGGCGCGGGCGCCGTGGGCCGACTCCTGTCACCGCTGATTGGTCTAGAAATATTGAAAATTAGCCAATGATTGGCCTGGATTCGATGTCAAGGAGCATTCCTCACGGTGAAGGCGTGCGCTCCAGCCAAGTAACAGGGTAGGTAAGGCGTTCTGTTAGCCTTACGTGGTTATGAGGCGCAAGGAACATTCAAGAGGATAGAGGCACCTGGGCTTAAGCCCGTTTGCTACAGGGCGTATCCAGATCGCAACGACAGGATTATTGGTCAAGCTCTCCAGGAAGGCTGCCAGGAAGGGTCAATAAACTGTTTATTGCTACATACTAGTAGGCCACAACATTGTTGCCAAGGTGACGATAGCAGCTGAAAGCAATCTTGTTGGAGTCTCTGAAACGCCTTTGCCTCTTGGGAAGGATGGCGTCCAACGACGTCAACGTCAAGGTGGCTGTGCGCTGCCGGCCCATGAGCGGCAAGGAGACGCAAATGGGCGCCAAGACGATCGTGTCGGTCGTCGACAAGATGATTTGCATCGAGAGCCCGACGGCAGGCGCAGAAGAGGCCAAGAAGAAGTTCACATTCGACTACTGCTACTTTGTCGACTCGGACCAAGCGACCGTGTACGCCGAAGTGGCCCAGCCGCTCGTGGACCAGGCTTTCCAGGGCTACAACGGCACCATCTTTGCGTACGGCCAAACAGGGTCTGGGAAGACGCACACGATGATGGGGTCCGGTGACGACCATGGCATCATTCCCAAAATGAACTTCGACCTTTTCCAGTACTACCTGCGACGATATAATTTTGGTATTGACGCAGAGCTAGGCGCGTCGCGGCGCAAACCAACGATGAGACCAAGTACCTGATCACGGTCTCGTTTCTCGAGATCTACAACGAAGTCATCAAGGACCTCCTCAACCCGTCCGATAAGGTGCTTAAGATCCGCGAGCACCCCGACATGGGCATCTACGTGGAGCACTTGGCCGAAGTGAGGGACCCGTTATCTCTTCCTGGACTTAATGCAGCGTCTTGTAGCTCGTGGTGCGAGAGCCCAGCGACGTCTCGCGGCTCATCGACGAAGGCAACAAGGTCAGGCAAGTCGCGGCAACCCAAATGAACGAACGAAGCTCGCGGTCGCACTCGTGCTTTACCATCAAAATCGGTTCCAAGAAAACCGAGACACTGGGGGATATCACGCGCGAGACGATCATGAACGCCAAGATCAACCTCGTAGTCGCCTTCCTCGCGTCATCAAATGTCAAAATTATGTTCCTAGGTCGACTTGGCGGGCTCAGAACGCGCAGCCAAAACGGGTGCAACTGGCGACCGGCTCAAGGAGGGTGCTGCCATCAATAAGAGCCTCTCGGCCCTCGGCAACGTCATCAACATGCTCGCGGATCGGTCCAAGAAGGGTCACGTGCCCTATCGCGACTCGAAGCTGACGCGACTTCTTCAAGTACGAACTTCTTGGCGAACAGTCTTCTTCATACTACCTGCGTTAGGAGTCGCTTGGTGGCAACTCGCTCACAGTCATGATCGCAGCGGTCTCGCCTGCCGACTACAACTACGACGAGTCGCTTGGCACGCTGCAGTACGCCAATCGCGCCAAGTCGATCAAAAATGCAACGCGCAAGAATGAGGTACTCTCATAGTTGATTTGAAATTGAAAATCGCACAGAAATCGCGGTACTAGGATGTCAACGAAAAAATGATCCGCGAGCTTCGCGAGGAGATTGAGCGCCTGCGGCAAATGGTCCAGGGCAACTCGGTGGCGGTGCCGGCCAATCCCGACGCTTTGCGCGACATGGACGAGATGATCGCCAACCTCGAGCGTGCCAAGCAGCAGGTACCTGCAATGTTTGTGCACGAGAATCGAGAGGCAATGCCTCTAGTCGTGGGAGGAGAAGGAGCGGCTGGCCGCCTTGTACGAAGCCGAGCGTCAAAAGAGCATGGCGAATGAGACCAATATCCTCGCCTTCATGCAGGTGCGCAGTTTGGTTGAAATGAAATGCAACAATTCAACGTCGAGTAGACGGTCAAAGAAGAGAAAATCGATGGCATCAAGCGCGTCAAGCGCCTCCATCAAGTCCAAACATGCCAGCGATTTACCTGAAATGACGGGTTGAAATGGTAGGAAAAAGCCAAATTGACCAAAGTACTCCGCGAAAAGAAAGACAACTACGGCACGATCAAAAAGAAGCTCCAAAGTGACATTCAGACGTACCAAGACGTCACCAAAACCAACGAACGCGACGCCCGCGTGCCCGAGCTCTTGGTCGTCATCGACAAGATGAAAGAGCAGCTCATCGCGGTAGCGTATCTCTCGCAGCAGGCCAGTCACCTGTGCGTAGGAGCGGGATGCGTTGGCGAGTTTAAAAGACCAGCAAAAGGCCGTCGAAGACAAAATTGTGCGTCCTTCCATTTCTGCTCAAGTAGCAAACCCAATTACGAACGAGTAGCTCGAAGAAGAAGCCGACATTGCAGCCAAGTCGGCGGTTCTCCAAGAGAATGAAAAGCTCCGACAAGTACGAAATTTCGCTTAGAGACCGTATCAGTCTCGCTATAATGGACGCACAGGCAATCCAAGAAGACGAGCGCCAGAAAATGAAGCAGGAGAAGGAGTCGTTCCTGGAGCAAGCGCTCGCTGAGGAACGGTGCAGTGTCTCTCATTTCAAGCCGTCATTCACGCGGGTCGTGTAGCCAGCGGCTCAAAACGCAGGCCGAGGACGAGCGTGTCAAGCTCGAAAGCATTTTGAACGAAAGTGTCGACAAGGAAAAGCGGCTCGCGGAAGAAGTCGTCAAGCAGCGCGACCGAGCGCTCTTGATGAACCAAGAGATGCACCGTCTCAAGCACACGTTTGCCGAGTCACAGACGCAGACAAAAACGCAGCTTCAGGAGATGCTCTCGGAGCTCACAGCCGCGTGGGACGCAGAGCGTTTGCAGATGCAGCGGAAGTACACGACGGCCGTCCAGTTGCTGCAGCAAGCCCACAACGACATTGTGTATCTGAGCTCGCGGAATGCGCTCTTGGAGAAGCAGCTCGACGAGGCGTTGCGCTGGGAGCGACCCATTTGATGCGTTCACCTTTGTACACAACACACTCTAGTATAACATACTTACGTCGTCTACCGCAGTCCAAATAACATAGTCGAGGTGGCTGTCAAGCTCAAGAACGAGCGGACTGCGTGATGGCGGCCCCACTGTTGGAGTCGTTGGTGTAGCCAGGTCGGGCCGCGCCGAAGCGCTCGTCGCGGGTCCCGAAGCGTCGCGTTGAGCCGCAGCATGTAGTAGGTGGTGTATGGTAAAATCGACGCCATGCAGAGACCGCCCGCGAGCCACATGAGCTCGGACCGGTTGATTAGCCAGACCGTGAGCGCAGCGCCGCTTCCGAGTACGGACAGCGGGGCCATGACGCGGCCGGCGGCGTCGTACATGTCGGCAAAGAAGATCGCTTGCATCCGATAATCGGTCATGAGGAGGAGCGACGGGTGCTGCACCAGACTAATGTACACGGATGCACCAGCATACATGGCCGTGCAGCCGACGGCCACCAGCTTGAGCATTCGATTTTGGCGGGAGTTTCGGCGACCAAAATGACAAAAAGAGGTATCACCTTCTCACTCTCCTGGGGGCTCCATCATCTGCTCCAGCAGCTCCATCGGGCGTCCATGCGTTGCAAACACACTTGTCAACTGGTTTGCATTGGTATCGTATACATCGTCGCCCACCGTGTCTTTGCACCGACGTCGAGACGACCTGGCCGACGCTGCGCACAGGATTCGCTCACGATGCTCCCATGCGTTGACGACGGGATCGCCACGACCGCTCTATGCGCCGTGGCAACCAACCAAGCGCGACACGTAGGTCGCAGCACCATGCACGGATTTAGCATGTACGGACAGCGACGGGACTGGGGAACGGAACATTTTTGTGGCCGTGGGGAGCGTCGCAGTAACAGCGCAGCCCTTCGCGCTGTCGTCGTGTCCTTGGCACCCGGTACGCTTGCCACGGACGGACAGCGGTTGCTGCGGAAAAGGGAGAGAGCGGTCTCACCCACAACCAAACCGGCAATGGAATTTACCCTTCAATTCTATCGGGTTGACTTGGGTACCGGTAGACTCATGAGGTGTGATTCGTATCGTCGCGCATTGGCAAAGGCGTGGACTATGCTGCTGAAAGCGACATGTGCGCCCCCAAACGAAAACGTTGCAGAACCGAGCTTCTTCACTTTGCTTCCCGGTAAATCCATTCCGGAAGGTCCGAGATTCGGATATCGTACGCAAATAGGGCGTTGCCCTCAGTTTGCTACGAGCGTTGCCCCCGACCGTGGCCGCTCGTCATACACACTCCGATCAGGTATGCATCGAACATGCTAGAACACGCCGTTGGCGCTGGTGCCAAGGAGTTGACGTCCGCCGACAACAAGTATTGCCACCGAGTACCACGTTCTGCCGAGTAGAGAAGCCGCACATCGCAATTGCAACTCAATCGCCTGGTCTCTTTGCCCCATCACGCCCAGACCGCGAGCACGTCACCGCGCGACAATAGCTCGATCCTCCGAGACAGAGCCTGGTCCCATGTCCTTGCGATTCGACAAGGCTGTTGCTCGGCATGAAAGCGTCCTGACTCGAGGCCATTATGGCGAAAAAGTCCTATTTCGACGCAAAATTCGGTCACACGCTTGAAAATCGGTCCAAGTGACTTGGTTTTTGCATCGGCCGAGCGTTGAACTTCAAGCTGCATTCTATGCACCGGGCCACGGTGCGTCGGGAAGCGACGGGCAATTTTGGCAGCCGAGATAGGATGCTCTCGTCTATCTGCAGTCGTATCGAGTGCTACGATCTCTGGCACGGCCTTTCGTCCCACGCCATGATCACCGCCCAGCGATAAGGGCCTGTCGGCCGCGCCAACGTCCAACGCTAGCCTCAACGATCCGTGCATGGGCCGTCCCTTTCTACATCAGCAGAGCCCTTCGTCGGACAGCCGCCTCCTCTGCTGTGCGAGTCGTGAACCATGGACGCTGAACACCCGTTGAACTACTGCGCACTTTGCCGCAGTGATGATGCTAGTGCCTGGGAGTACGTTGTGGGCGTAGCGAGATGGAGAGATGTGTTCGCAAGGGATGATTTTTGTCCATAGCTTATAGCCAGCATTAAATATTATTACACTTTTAGTGAGTTGAGCTTAGTCGTAGCCCGTACAAGTTACATTTGATCGACGAAGAACATGATTTCCGACTTGAAGAGCATGTCGAGGGCCGACGACGTCGCGTCGTCGCTGCTCCGGCACGTGGTCGTGTCGAGCGAGAGCGGCGCGGGCTCCGTCTTCGGTGTCTGGTGGCGCATCTCGGGCGTCATGACGTGGCAAAAGAACTCGACTTCGTCAAACCCGAGGACCAGCGGCGCGTCATCGATGCGCGTCGGCGACGACGCCGTGAGCTCGTCGTCGTCCTCGACCTTGTCTTCCTCGAGGAGGCTCGGGAGGCTCAGCGGTGCGGCCTTCTCGTCGTAGGGCGAGAACCGGCGCAGGCGCTTCTTCCGGTCGAGCTTCTTTTGGTTGAGGTTGGCCTTCTCGCGGTGGAAGTCGCAGAGCTTGTGATCCTTGCCGTTGCGCTTCTGGGCGCGGAGGTTGAAGCACTTGCCCGTGCGGTAGCCGCATTTGTGGGCCATGTTGGTGGCCTGCGGATACGTGATCGCGCCAGCTTCGGCCGTGTCCGAGCTCGACGACGACGGCGACGCCGAGACCTCGGTAGGCGCATACGGCGTATAGTCGTCGCAGACGGACCACGACCGGTGGGCCATGTCGTGCGGGCGCGGGTCATGGTACATGCTGGTAAAGTCCTCTGACCACGAGCGTCCGGTCGTCATAGTTGGGTCTTGTCGAGTACAAAGCAAATTGTGGAGTGAGTGCAAGCAGAAAATGCTGCGGCTTGCCGACGCAACAGCAGGTGGGTATATAACTCGGTGCAGAGTGGGAGGCCGCCGTGGGACACTGCGCCTTTCTAAGCCCGGCCAACCGGCCGATGCATCCAGCGTGTAAACTTGCAAGAGTGGTGACACTGCCCGTGACAGCGCGGCCACCTGACGATATGATTGCCCGCGGGTGCAACACTCGCCACAATACACGACGCCAACAGAAACTTGTCGTCGTTGGCAGCAGCAGAAGCGCCGTCATGGTCGCTCGCACGAGCAAATAGGTCTGGCGCGATCTCACGCGTAAATTATTCGAATCGGCGCGCGCTTCGCGCATCGTCCCGACCGTCGACCAGTCGTCCGTCGCACAGCGAGTACTACGTCATCCAATGTTCGCATCTAATGAGGGTACTAAGGAGGCAAAGTCCTGCGTTGCTAGACAGCCGCTCGGCCGACGACACGACCACCGCCTTGGCTACCGGCGTCGTTGGCAGAGCTCGTTGGCAGCGCTCGAGCGGCGGAGCTTGATCTTCTCGGTTACCACCGTCTTGGTTGTGCAGTGCTTTCGATGCGAAGGTTGTTGGGTGGCCGTCGGAGTACCCAATCAGAGGACATTGCCGTCGCGCCTCGGCTTCATTGTGCGTCCAGTACGACGAGCTACGACACTACTAGCGGCTACTCGGTCGAAGAAACCCAAGCAGCAAGCTTCTTCTTCACAGCGGAGAACTTTGCAGAAAAAAGGGCCACCACCAAGCACCAAGTGCAAGCCAGATGGTTCGAGCACTCGACGACAGGCTGCTTGGATCACGGAAGATGCCGGAAGCCTGAACGCTCTTCCGAGCGTATAATGGTCTGGGGTATCGCCCGTCTGCGGCCGCGATCGCTCTCGGAGATCATGGACGTGCCTTGTCTAGGTCGTCCCGTCGCTGGCTCGACCGTATTTCGGGTCGAGATCAGCTACTCGTTGCCGGATCATTCTAGGACTTGCTCCCTTGGCTTCAATCACGGGCCAAGAGGGGCTGATTATCCTACTCTGGCGCTTTGATAGCCCGCTGCGACCTCGCGCTTTGCGTTGTAGCCACACGCGCAGAGAATGCGCAATCTGTTGAAGGCAAACTGTCAGGTTTGACCACCATATGCTCTGCAGCTCTTCTCGGCCGCAGAGAGCACGACCAACAAAAGCGTTGTTTATTCAACTGGCATCTGCGACCCGCCAGGGACTAATGGGTCATCCGCCGTGGTTTTCAATGGCTCGATGCGAGCTCTGCCGCGCCGCTCGTGCTTGTTTACACTGGTGCGCTCTCGAGTAGCACTGACGTCTCTGCGGGTTTAGCGCCAATCCAACGCGGCGTTGCGTCGTCGATCGATGCGCAGGAAGCTCCGCAGTCTCGTAGCTATTGTTACTGGCTGGCATTGCCGTGCACTGGGACATGTTGCCGCAACAACGACGGTGGCCTCCAGCTCTCGAAACCGGGTCGCGCTCGCCGCCTCATTGACAGCAAGGATCGTGTCTCTCGTCCCGGCGCGTCGCCCCGCCGATTCGAAAATTAGCTAATGATTGGGCAAACGTGGCGTCGTGGGAGGCAAGGGAGGAGGCCTGAAACAAGGTCGTGCGATCTTAGAAGACGACATGAGAATGGCTGGCTTAGACGAGCCGGAAGCCCACGAAAGTGAAGCAGCCATGTGAGAAGAGGCCAGCACTCATCAGGTTTTCGTTGTTTGTGAGCGATTTCGGGGCGTCGTGCATACCAGCACATGCTGTATACGATACTAAACGACCAATGTGCCACATGGCCCCGTATGTACTGTACACTTAGCACGACGTGCCTGACAAGGACGGACCCAAGACTGTCGGATGCAAGACACTTCAAGCCTCGACGAAGGACGGGCGAGGGTCCCAACTGATGGCTTCCATCGTGTCTGTGCGACGCCTGATCCCTCCCGCCCCGCCAACGTTGCACTTTGCCGAATTGCCGATCTTCCTGCCTTCTTGGATGCAGATTATTCTGTTCATGTCGCACGCCACCTGTTGCGTTCTTGAAGGCGGCCATGTGGCGGTCCAAGGTGAAAGAGATCCAGGCGCTTCCTCGAGGTCGGGCAAGGCAGTGGCGCAGGACCCTCGTCGCGCCACGTATTACGCCGCGATGATAAGACGGTACGGTCCAATGAGAGCGCGGGCGGCGGCCGCGTCGTTGCTCATAACGTGGGACGACTGCATATTCATGCCAAGAAAGCTACTCGTTGAGTGTAATCATGAGGCAGGGCGCGTCGTTTCGATCGGCGGCGTCTCCAGGCGCGATCCGCCGACCTCGGATCAGGCTCCCATTCGAGCTCAGTAGCCTTGATTTCAACCCAGGCCTGTCCATCATCCTCTTCCTAGTACTAGTACTCGGCAGCGATGCAAGTGTACTGTACGCAGCCGAGAGAGGCATTTGCACGAGGTACGAAAGACGAGACAAGGAGCATGGGCTGTCGCGGTCGTGGCTGCAACGACGCCCTTGCGCTGCGCCCATTTGGAGGATCTGGTCGTCCTGTGTGCCACTCACTTCTACGAGGATTCAAGGCTCTTGCAACGAGTACTATGAATGTACGCTGCTTATTCCGCTCTACAATGACGAGCCACGACCACAGTCGAGATTCCACCGTGGGGCACAGCTACTGAAATACCGGTACATTACCAAGCCGACGACTGACTCATCACTCGCCTTGGCCAAAGAAGCCGCAGATACATAGCACAGCGTTGAGCGCGTCAACGTTGGCCGTCGACGGGGCGAGGCTACGTGCACGCCAGCACCACCGGAAGATGTCCCGGACGCACGCATCCATGTCTGCAAGAAGCAGCTTGTCGAGGCGAGCCAGGAGCGCGTAGAGCCACACGGCGCGCAGTCGCGAGAGCGCGGGGACGTCGTCGTCGTCCTCGAGCCAATGAAGCATCGTGTGCAGCAGCCGGCGCGTCATGATCTGGTCCATTTGCACCAAGGTGCGCACGTGCGGCGGCGTCGAGGCAAAGACCTTGCGCCATCCATCTTCGTCGCCTAGCTTGGGCACAATCATGGTGCGCGGAATACTATAGCTTGTCTCGACGTGCACGAGGTACTGTCGGACGTCGGCAAAGTCGGACGTGATCTCCATGGCCTGCGCGGCCGAGAGCCCGCGATTCGCAGGGAATGGCGGCAGGTCCGGCAGGAAGATGTCGTGGATCGTCGTGGGCGCGGGCGGTGGCAACGACGCAATGGCTACTGCGGTGACGTCGGGCAGCGACGCCGCCTCATGCCGCACCCGCCAGAGGTACTCCTGCGCGTCTGCTGGCGGCAACTGCGCGTTGGCTCGGTACGTGTACTCGGCGAGGACCTCAGGCGACACTGCGTCAACGGGCAGCACAGCATCGTCCATCGTGCGAGTTGTGATTGGTGGGAAATTCGAAGCCCCATAAATAGTGTTGATCATAGTAATCACGCATATAGTGTACGTTGAAGCACTGCAACTCGTGCAATTCTTGATCCACGACGCCAACTGAGTCGACATCGCTTCGGTGAAGCCGAGCTTGCTGGAGTTCATCACACAGCCTATATCAACAGCGACAAGCTGTTGGTGAGCTTCGGGTTCCGTGGTTGAGGGCCTTGAACATGTCACTTGCAAAATCGGCAATGGCAGGCCTGGACATACACTGCAGCCAAAAGTAATGTAGAGCTATCTGCTGTGAAGCGTGTGATGACTATTGGACTGAGGTACTGGCACGCTCTATCCATGGCTCTTGCGAGTATGGTGCACGTACTGCTGTCAAGGCTGCTGAGAGTGAACCAGCTCCGTGAGAACTGGATTGTTGACGTCTCCGTGGCGCTGGACGATCCCCAAACGTTCAGTTCTGGAGCTCTTGCGTGGTCTCCAGATCCTGCGTCGGGTGGTCTCTGGACACCTTGCATGCCGAGATTGGGCCTGCTTTCAATCGAGCAGTGGTACCTATTACAAAGCGCTTTTTTCAAAAAAAATCACACTATTTGCGTATGGAATGGCGGTGCTGGGTTTTATACTAGGTGTTTGTATGGAAACTATTATAATATTATTGTCGAAAGATCTGCCCGAGTTTCCATGCCATTGAGAAATTGTTCCATGTTGATGGAGCAACGAGCCGACGCATGGAGGCCCGGGCGCGGGTACACGCTCATGCTTGTCTTGCTGCTGTGCATGCCACTGCGTGTGATGGCTGCGATGCTCGACGTGCCGATGGGCGACTTCCAGCGAGCGGCAGCCATGACGACCGACGACGCGGACCTGCGTGAGACCGGCGACGACATGCGCCTTGGCCACTTGGACTACGACGAGCTGTACGCCTCCGTGAAGGCGTTCGAAGCAGAGAACGCGCTACCCAAGCCTCGACCACAGAGCCAGAAGGTCGAGGTCTGGCTCGGCGGCGTGCTGTACAAATCGCCAGCGATCGTGCCCGAGTCGCCATTTCGCGTCGCGGGCAGCCGTGGCCTCAGCAAGATGGACTCGCGCGTGCACCTCGAGCCGACGCCGATGGGTGCGATTGATAGCAGCAACACCAAGGACGAGCGGGACGTGACCTTTGGCGACGCGGTCGTCCGCCTCGCCCCATCGTGGGTCGACTTTGGCGTCACGGCAACCGGCATTCCGTCGATGCGGACGCTCGAGATTAGTTACTTTGGTGGCGCCGACGACTACGAAGACGACGAAGACGCGCTCGTCATCACGAACGCCGAGGTGCCGGACAAGGCTTTTTTGTTTGCCGACGTCTTCTTCCCCATGGTCATCAAGCCCGGGGCCTCGACCTCCATGCACATGCTCTTCTTGCCCCGCGAGGCCGGCACGACCCGAGCAACTGTGAATTTACACACGTCGCGGGGCGTCATCGAGTATACGGTGCAGGGAACTGGCCGCTTCAACGCTTACGAGAGCCACGTGCACGTTGCGATCGTCCCGCCTGGCACGCGCTACGAGCCGTCGCTCCTGCTCTTCAACCCGCACGACGAGGTCGAGGCGAGTCGTATGCGCAAGGCCTCACGCTGTGCAATAGGTGCTCCGCGTCAACGAGGTGTTTACGACTGAGGGATTCCTGCACCTGGTGCTGCCGCCGACCGACTCGGACAGCGCGGGGCAGTGGGAGATCCCGCCCCATGCGACCAAAGAGATCATGCGGCTCTCGTTCGCCTCGGGCGTTGCCGGCAACTTCAACGCCTTCGTGCGCATCGAAACCAGCGTCGACAATCTGCTGTTGCCCGTGGACCTCACGGTGCTGCCCGGCGGTCTCCACGCCGATGTGCATGGGTTGGACTTTGGCTACTTGACGTCCGACGACGAGGTATACCTCTTGCGATACCGTCATATATGAAATGTCGACGGTATAGCGTCATCATATCGCGCTGGATCTGTTCAACACGGCCGCCGTCCCCGTCCTTGTCCAAGGCGTGAGTCTCCGGGTTGCCGACCCGCACATCTCGGTCATCATCCAAGGATCCCACGTCATTGCGCCCTACACGCGCGTCAAGAACGCCATGATCCTCACGTATCAGTCGCCCCTTCCTGGCCTCGCCACCGGCGCGCTCACGCTGCACACCAACATCTCGACAACGCCCGAGATCTCGCTCTTGTACCAGGCGCGGCGACTCGACGGGGCGCTGACGTACACGGCGGTTGCCTCGTCGCCATCCACACACGTCGTTACGCTTCGCAACCGCTTTGACGTGCCGCTGCGACTCGTCGATGTCGACGTCGACGACGCATCGGTGCGAGGCGCATCGTGCTCCGTCGTACGATGGCCGAATGCGACGACGGTGGCTCCGGGCGGTCGGTGGGCCGACGTCGTTGTCACGTGCAACCGCCGTCACGTGTTGTATGCGGACGAAGTGGCGTTGCGGGTGCAGACGAACGGCACCAAACACGTGGTCTCGGTCGCGTGGGCGCCGCCGAGTCTCGTCGTCGACACGGCCAAAGGTCTAGTAGATGTGTCGTTGGACAAGCCAGCAAACCGGACGCTTTTGTGGGACCTCGGCAACATTTCCGTCTCGACGCACCGGCAAGAGACGTTGAATTTGACCAACCTCAACGCCGACGCGATCGATGTGACGCAGCTGCACGTGTTCACGGACACGATTCGGTACTCGCTGGGCCGGCTACTGCCGTCGATGGCGGTCGCGCCGTCGGTCGGTGACGCCGGAAACGACTGGATGCGCCGGCATCCCGCGTACGGCAGTCAGCCCCACGTCGACGCGATGAGCGAACACATGGCCAAGTTCGCGTGCTCCATGCGTGTCTCGCCTGACGCCCGCTTGTAGGGTGCAGTTGAACATGCCGGTCCGAGCGCAGCCGCTGCTGACGATCGCACCGGGTTACGTGGCGTCGTTAGCGCTGCGCGTCCGCCCGGTGGCCGGCGGTCGCATGGACGCGGTGGCTCTTTCGATCACAACGCTGACCGAGACGATTCATATTCATGTAAGATACACGGCAGTCGACGGGGCGATAGCTCCGGCGCGCCCCAAAGTGCGGCTCCCGATGCTGTACCCGGGCAAAGCCGAGGAGGTCTCGCTTTTGTATATTAGTACATTTGCGCATCCCGTGGCTGTGTCGGGCATCCGGGTCTCGGACCGCCGCATGCAAATCGTCTCGGGCAGCTCGATCTTGCAGCCGCACGCGACGACGGAGGTGGCCAAGCTCATCGTGTCGCCCGCGTATGCGCTCGCGTGCAGCAACCGCGACCGGTTCGCCGACTGCATGGTGCCGCAGTCGATCGGGTACAAGGCGCCGCCGCTGTCGACGTTTGGACAGCTCGTGACGCGGACCGACTTGGAGGCGTACCGCGATCGCGTCCAGCGGTTCGTTCAGCTGCAGACGTCCGGCCAGACGATCGTCGAGATGAAAGTGCAGCTGGACACGGACCTCGTGCATATTGCGCCGATGCTCGTGCGCATGCCGATGACGCGGCCCAAGCTCTCGGACGGCACGCTTGTCTTTGCCGTCACGCACGTTGGCAACGTCTCGAGCGCGTATCTCGAGGTCGAGAACCCGTCCAACGTCACGATCGACGTCGGGCTCGTCATCGAGAAGGACGCTAGCAACGACGTCTTCTTTTGCGCCAGCCATGCCGACGACGACAAGTGCGTCACGGCGTGGCACAAGCGTGACGCGTCGACCTTCAACTTTATGCTGAGTCCCGACGCGATGGAGAAGCACGTCCTGGCGCCGGGGGAGGTGCGCCAGCTCGGCCCCGTTCGATTTGCGCCCGACCTCGTCAAGGAGTACGTCGGGCGCATCTACTTGCGCAACTCGCTGAGCCACATTGAGCCGATTGTGATCCGCGGTCTCGGAGGCCGGGGCAAGGCTGTGCTTGACGCTACGACCGTCGATGGCATCGAAACACTCCGCTTTCGGAATGCAAATGTCGGCGCTGTCGTCGTCTCCAACGCCGGCGAGCTGCCTCTCTCTGTTCTCAGTGTCTCGTGCCCCGACTGCATCTGCGGCGACGGAACCACGGGCTTTTGCATCGAGTCGTTGCCGAGCGTGCGCGTGCTGCACCCATCGACAGCGCTGCAGTTGAACGTTACATATACGCCAAGCTGCTACTACACGCAAGAGCACGCTGTCGTGACCGTCATGACGTCGTCGGGGCCGCTCGAGCTCCTGCTGCAAGGCATGGTGACGGACGTAGCCGCCTGCCTCGCGCGCAGCGGCAGCGCCTGGTATGTGCTTCTGGCCAAGTGCGCGATCTGGCTCTGCTTTGCGCTCGTCGTCGGCCAGATGCTCTACTACACGGGCGACGTCCTCGTGGCCGACACGAAGCAGTGCCCGATGGACGACCGCTTCGGCTACGAGCGTTTGGACGTTGCGCCAGACGAAGACGCGACCGATGGCAACTGTGAGACGTTGACGGACCTGCCCGACGTCTTGATCGCCGACATGGAGTCGATCGAAGCTGAAGTGGACGCCAGTTGGGCCTTCACTGTCCTCCGACGTCCGGCGGTCAACAAGCTTCTCGAGAAACGCAAGACGCTGCGAGAGAGGGCGGCCGCTGGCGACGCCAAGCGCCTCGCACTCGTCTCGTCACTCAGCCCGACCAGCATCGACTTCTACGACGCACCGAAACCACCGAGAAAGAAGAAGGCGGCCCAAAAGCTGCGCGTGGCCGAGCCGGCGACGACGCCGACACCCGTTGGCAGTAGCAACGCGACGGCAAAACCAACAGCTCATGCGCCAGAAGCGGTGCCGACCGAGAACGCGGTGGAGATCGTCCACCGAGTCGACAAACTCATCGTGGTCGACATTGGCGTCGCATCTCCCGATGCGGAAATGTCTCTGGCATCTCCGGTCGCAAATTTGCCCACGAACGACATTGCGACACCCGTGCCTCTGGATGTACCGACGCTCTTGGAGCCCGATGTTCCGAGCGATGACGAAGCCCAAGAGCAAGCCCAAGCACTCGACAGACCTTCTCCCGTGGCCACCAATGTGAGCAAGCTGGCGCCTGCCGAAGAGCCGCCGGGCGATGTGCCACCGACTCAAGATGCGGCCTTCGACGACGTTGGCGCAGAAGCAACGAGTGACGACGAGACGTCGACGGCTGTTGACGACGATCTTTCCACGCGCACGAGCGAGGACGTGTCGGGTACGGACGACGACGCGAGTGCCATAAGCGACGGTGATGACTCGGAGCTCGTCGTTGTCGACTGCCCGGCGCCAGTGATCGACGACAAGGAACAGGTCGACGACTACATCTCCGAGATCTTTGACCACGTGGCGCTGCCACCAGTGGCGCTACCACTGGTGGCTCCACCAGTGCTGACAGCGTCACGCGTGCGGGCGCCGCCGGGGTTTAGCGCCGCCGACGCCGATCCGTCATCCGTGTCGTTGACGTACTCGCAGCTGCAGGAGCAGCAGCGCATGCTTGCTTCCCTCGAGACGGAGCTCGCGGATGACGACATGTGGGCGCTGGGCCCTCTCGACGACTCTACAAGCGCCTTCCAAGCCCCGCTCTCGCTCTTTGGATCGTCGTACTTTACGGGCAAAGCGCCGGGCTTCATTGGCTCGAAAGCGCCGACGTCGCGCCTGTCGTCGCACCGGTTCTTTGACGACGGCGCCGACCTCGCGAGTCTCGGCGGCACCAAGTTCCCGTTCGAGAGCTCGAAAGACGTCTTTCTCGGGTCGGAGGCGATCGACGACAACGCCGACCGGCGTGCGTTTGGCTTTTGGTAACTGCGACGTAAACCGAGAGCATTGGCCTTGTACATAACTATTGTTGTGTGAGAAAATGTACACGTATATTCAGATTAGGCAGCAGTAGGCTCAGTAGGCTGACAAACAGAAGGTGCGGTCGTGCTCTGGGCCCGACGCGCGTGCGCCAGCACGACTACTGCAACAGCAAGGGCCGTGAGCGCGACGGCCAGTACAGCTAGTGTGGGAAGACTGGCAGCAACGACGTGGTGGGCAGCGTCGTTGCCACTGGCGGTTAGTGCGACCATCGACGACCGAGGACATGGGGCGTACACGGACGGCGGTACGGTGGCAATCCGCGCACAGAAGCGACAACCCGAGCTCGGGATGCATCCGAGACCGCCTTGGGTGAGGCACGAAGCATCGGCGAAGACGTCAAGACCGGCTTGGTAGTCGCCGCGTGAGACGCTGCAGATTGCAGACGTAGCTGTGGGTGACGGTGCAGCTGTCGTCGGTGCCAGTGTTCGCGTCGGTGTTGTTGTCGTCGGAGCAAGCGTTCGCGTCGGTGCCGTCGTTGTGGGTGGACGTGTGGTCGTCGGCATAGTTGTTGTCGGCGCGCCTGTCTTGGGAGTCTCCGTTGGCGGAACCGAAGTCGTCATGCCCGCGCACGGCGCAAAGCCGGCCGACTGCGGAGTCCAAGCCGTCGCGCAAAACCGACACTGCGTCGAGCCAATGCAACCGACCGCCTGAGACCCGGGGCACGTCGTGTCGACTTGAGCTGAGATACCAAGCGTGGTGGTTTCCGCCGGAAAGAGTGCCGAGCACGTGGTCACTGGCATGGTCGTGGGTGTTGGTGTCGTGGGCCGCGGCGTAGGCTTTGGCGTGGCCGTCGTGGGCAATGGCGCACTGCTCTTGAAGGGGCATGGCACGAACGGCTGCGACGATGAGCTCGTCGGGAGCTTGCAGTATCGACACGTGGCGCTGTAGCAGCCCAGACCGTTGCACGGCGAGAGAGCGTAGGCAAGAATCCCTTGGTGAAGGTTGCCGGCGTCGATGGCGTTCAAGCACGGGTCGTTGAAGCCGCACCAGTTGGTGTCAACCACCGAGGCACTGCTGCCGACCACCGAACTCGTCTCAACGCCGCGCGTTGTGAACGTCGTTCTCGCCCACGCACTGTTGACAAGCGCATTGGTCCAGAGGGGGTACGCGCGCGTGCTGACGTCCGAGACGCCGGTGCCCGTCGTCGGCAACGTCGCGGTGATGACGACGCTAGGGCAGCCCGACGCTGGACAGGCCGTGGTTGCGTCCAATCGCGCTTGGGTCTGCTGGAGGCGGAAGACGAGGAGCGCGCGAGCAGCGTCGAAGAAGAAGCAGTTGGTGCACGTGGTCGCCGTCGCGGATGGCATCACACTGAGCGCCACGCCGCGGCCGTCGACGACCTGCGTGATTCTCGACCCGATCGGGTAGCAAACAGCAATCGTGTGAACGTCGCCGACGACCCCATTGACGAGGTTGAACCGAAGGATCGGAGGCGTCCGCGTTAAAAAGTTGACAACGTACGTGGCGCCGACTGAAAGCGACGGGTGGTAGAGGTACCCGCCGGCATCGGGGATGTACTGTCCCGCAAACGAAAGCGTCGGCGGCGATGTCAAGCTCGCGTCACGGTCCATGCGGGCTACGAGCAGGTTGCCGTACTTGGCGAGATTCACGCCATCCGTGTCGATCTGGACGATCTCAAAGTTGTTGTAGCGATGAGGGCACGCGAGGCCGTACGACGGGCTGCGACGGCACTGCTGCGTGTAATAGAGGCCCCAGTCGGGTAAGACGATCGCCCCCGGTTGACCTACGCGCGCATGAGCGCACTCGACGAGGATTAGGGTCTACCCGAGATGGACCCGGACGCATCTTGGACGACATTGGTGAACCCGCCGTCGCTCTGCCGGTCGAGAATGTAGACAGGGTACGCCGTGTTGGGGAACGAGCAGTTGACGATCGTCGTCGTCGTCGCCATCATAAATGTGTTGAACGCCCGGGCGCCGATCGCGGGGTTGATAACGCCCATGCACGACTGGGAGTAGTAGTTGCGGAAGACGACGTTTTCCAAAAAGTGCGGACCGTCATAGAGCACGACACCGATTTTGATGAGGTCCGTGAGCATGAACGCGCTCTCCGACCGGCCTTCGAGGAACGCGACGCTCTGCCACTCGGTCTCGACGAGGTTGCCGCGGTTGGCCGTGTTGCCGACAAGCAGCGAGTTGCGCAGCGTGCCGTTGACAGGCGCCGTCGGCGTGTTGCCCGTCGTTAAAAACTGAACGCCTATGCAATTTCCATGAGCATTTGGTCGGTCGCAGCAGCAGTCGTACCTTCGCGGACGTCGCCGAGCTTCCAGTTGTCGAGGACGATCTCAAAGATGCGAAACCAGCCGCCTTGGCGCGCGTGATGGACCGTAAAGTCGGAGATGACTGTGATGGACGTCGGACTGTAGCCTTGCGCGAACGCGCCGCCGGCGTTCACGAGCGGCATGTCGCCGCCGTCAAAGTCGGGGCTGTCGATGCGAAAGGCATTCCAAACCGAGTGCACGTGGTTGCCAGTGCAGAGCTTGAGCGGCGTCTTGAAGGGCACAAGTGCATTGTACAAGCCGGTGCCGTAGCTCGGGTTCTTGGCGAGGAGCCGCGTGTGGATCCAGAACCCACTGCCTTCGACGCCCGCGACAGCATTGTTGGTGAACACGTTGTCGCCGTTCGTGATCCAAAAGGCGCTGAGGCCAAAGCGGTCGTCCGACCCGAGGCGGAAGGGTCCGTCGAGCTTCTCGCGCACGAGCACGACGAGGTTGGCGTCAAACACGTTGTTGAACTCGGCGCCGTCTTCGAGGAACATGGCGTGCCCCGACGTGTTGAACGCGACGTTGCTCTGGACGCGAACGTTCTGGGTGCCGTGGATCGTCACGGCGCGCATGAACGAGTCCCGAATCGAGTTGGCGCGCAGCAGCGTGCCCGGTGGCGCGGCGCCGCAAAGGTGAAAGTGGATCGGGTACCGCCCGACGATGTCCCCTTGGCCAAACGCCGAGATTTCGACGCCAACGATCTGCGCGGCGGCGAATCCGTTGGTGATCTACTTGACAATAAGCTCTTATCGCGTCCGAGAAGGGACGTACCATGAGGTGCCCGCCAATGTTCTGGCGCTCGATTTGATACCCAGTGCAGCCTCGAAAACGGATGCTGCGAGTGAGGAGCCCGACTTCGGCGCGCTCGTCAATGCCTTCCGTGATCTCACCAAAGTGGTTGTACACCAGCGGCGTGTCGAGCCGGAGGCAGCCGTCGGCGCCAAACCCGACCAGCGTCCGTCTCTCGGAGAAGCGCGGGTCATAGTCCGTCGTGGCGATGACGATGACGTCACCAACGACCCAGTCGACAGGATCGACGACATAAATGCATGTGTCGCCGGCCGACGCGGTGGCCGTTAAGAGCGTCCACGGGTACGACTGTCCCTTCTGCCCATAGAGCGCAATGGAGCCGCCGCGGCGGACGAGGATGCCATTCCGGCGCTCGTTGGACGGGGGGTAGACGCCAGGTGCGCAGCCGAGCGCAATCGTGACCGTGTTCGCATACGGTGTCGCCTCGGACCCGATCGAGAAGGCGCCGTTGATCTCGAGGTTGCCCACCTGAAGGTACGCGTTGGCGGCCGGGTCCACGGTGAGAAGCGCGCCGGCAGCGATGTTGAGCTCGCCGGTGATCGTGTTGCTGTTGCGCAGCGTGACACGGGTGCCGGGCGGAATCGTGACGTTGCCCGCAATGTTGATGCCGGACCAGACGACGTCGGTCCACGCCGCTGCCGCGCAGTGCGAGAGCGCGAAAAGCAGCCACTGCCCACGGTGCATCTTGACCCGAGAGGCAAATGCAAACTGCGGTCGAGTGGCATTCGCAGTAGGACATCCGTTAGGAGAAAAGTATCGGGCGAGATCGGCGCGCGCTCGGCGACCGTTGGCAAGGACGCCGTCGAGAAGATCGAGCCAATTTGCTAGTCCGACACGGGCGTCTTCTTCGACGAAGTGCCTATCATGGCTAGAAACCGCTGGCGCGTTCCGCGCGCGAGAGTTTGTTCACGCACCCGGCTCATGGAACGCCAAGTTCCAAGCAAGCTTTTAGTGACAACCAGGATAGGACCAGACTTGTTGGTCGGTGATTAGGTGGCGGACTGATATTGCGTCTTGGCCCAGAGTGAATTTCAGAAACTCAACGTGCGACAACAATTTACTGGATATAATCAAGATAAAATCTCGGGCAAAGCGCCTACGCGGCCGTCGACCACCGGCGTCCCGAGCACCCCCAGCATCAAGCCATCGCAGCTTTTTGTC